CGCAGCGCAAGTTTATTTTAGCCGAGCGCCACGCCCCCTCTAACGCCCACAATCGCCCACTAACGATTTTAAAATGGGTCCTGCGCCCACATCTTTAAAGATTTCCGAAAAGTATAAATGCAATTTTGTTGTGTATATTTATACCTATCGAAATGTAGAAGACTTTTTTCAAATCGGACCATTCATTAAAAAGTTATACGCAATCAAAAATTATATATCTATCTCCCTCGCACTCCCTTTAGCTGAGTTACGATTATTAGTCGGGACACCAACCCGACACAGCGTTCGCACTCCCTTTAGCTGAGTGACGGGTATTAGATAGTCGGGACAACAACCCGACTATAGCGTTCTCTCTTGTTTTGATATAGTTTCGCATCCGAAAAAGAGGGATTCGGCTGCCGTAAACAAACAAAAACATATTGCATGCCTTGCCGGAGAACCGGAATGCCGTAAAACAAAGGCGATCATCGACGATTTATAGGCCGTAACAAGCCCGGCCCCGTGAAAGATGCGCAGGGAAACCGAAACCCCGGCAAACCAGAAACACATGTCCCGACTCTAAGGACTTTCGGGGGACGGGATGGGAAAATATAGAACTCACTATTGGTCAGTGCTGGGAACGACGTCATCTAGTTAGGAATTTAAGTGCGAACGTGTGGGATCAGGTGACACTAAGGCCGGTTGCGGTATGTTGCCTCTCAAGTGAGCCGGGTATTCGCTTACACCAATAATTCATCCTCAACTGCAGTTGCGTCGATCCGTTTTATGTAGCGCCCAAGGTCCAAGGTACCAGGATTCAAGTGGGTCGCATAATCACGTGTCGATGTGCCGATGTTGTCCGGGATCAATGTTAGTTTTTGGGAGTGCCGCTGCCGTAGACAATTTGACGCTTCCGCCTACTGCTGGAGTCATGCACTTGGAGAAAAAAAAAATTGTTTTAAAAAGAGATACCATCTTACTTTGGTATATAACATTCATTCATTGGTAAAACATTCAAAATATTTAACTTGAAGAAATATCGTTTTAAAAAGAGATACCATCCTACTTTGGTTATGACATTTAAAATATTTAACTGATCTTTGAAGATATCGCAATATTTATTTTCTGGTTTTGAAATCCTAGTATTTGGAAAAATATACTAACTTATCATACTTAAGGTGCAATAAGGTATGTAATATCGTATCATATTGCATGGCTTAATTGATTGTTAAACTTGTTGAATTATATTATTAAAATTATTAAATAGCAGGAAGAAAGGCTTTCTTCTCTATATTGAACTTCTTAAAAGATTAATAGAAATCAGACAACGTTTTTGTAGATTTGCTTAATTTGTGCTTAATTCTTACTTGACTATTAATGGTTTGAAAAATGGTTTTTCTCAGTGCATTGTCCACTCCCATCTGGCGCAATCTTATGTAACTTGCCCTCCGCCCCTGACTTTTATGTGTCAATTTAATAGCGCATTTGCCACTTTTTGACATTCGATGCTGCTCCTGACACTTGGACTCCTTCCACGACTCCTTCTTCCGAATCTCTGGTGTTACATAGCTCCTTTGTTTTCTCAAGTGGTTTGCATATTACACTCCGACTCCGCTTTTCACTCCTTGTTGTTTCACAACACAGAGAAGTACAACTGGGAAGAATCAGTGAAACAGAAAGAAAATAAGCGGAAAACGCACAGTGTTCATTTGTTATGCTTGTCATTTGTCGCTGGCTGCCGGCAACTTCAAAGCCTGTCACCCAATTTGTTAAACGCGGAGACAATTTTGTCATCGGCTTCCCCACTTCACCCCCAATTCTTCAGCCATCACTCTGAAGCTTCGGCCGCCGGGGAAGAATTCTTAGCTTTCGCATGTGGCCAATTATTTTGTAAGCCGATCCATATTAGAGGTTCCTCTCGAAGCATGTGGTTCATGTGATTTTCAACTTCCAAACATTTTTTTTATAAATAAAATAGAATAAAATAAAGAATTGATGAACTGAATAGAATTATATTGACACGAAATTTAGTTTGTTGGAGAGAAAACAGAAATCTCTTCATGTAAAATATGTCAATACAAAATCGATTAAAAATGCTCAAGGAGATTTCTGCGTCTGTTAACTCTAAACCATACTTTAGAATACATTTTGGTGATTTTTAAAACAATACCTTTCTTCAAAGTAAATAATAGAAGTTTACTTAAAAAGTTATCTTATGATCTTGCCTCACTGAAAAAATATTTAAAATCCTTTCTACGATCGCAATATTTATTAAATTAAAAGATTTGTGTTTCTTAGATTATGGTTTAGTTTAGTTTTACTTTAGTACTATCTTTAAACAGATATATTGATCTTACAATAGTTTTGAAAATGGTATTTAGTAGCGGACCCAAAAATATTAAAGAGAGAATGAAACTCCTTAAACGAAATACATATGTAGATGAACATTAAGATTCGTCATTCTATTTCAAATGAAATTCAATGAAATAAAAGGTAAAGCTGGATGATTAGAAAAGTGAAAAAATAGGTATTTAGGGTATATTAATTTACAAAAGATTGTATGGTTTTAAAACAAAGAAAATATGGGCAATGGCGTATGTCAAAACAGAAATTGCAGCGATATATAACCGAGAAAGAGCGGAAATCAGAGAGTGACAGGGAGAGGAGCCGATTGGATTGGCAACAAAAGGTATGAGCAGGTAAGCGTAAGCCAACGCAAGGAGGTGTGTCCAACGTGCAAGTGTCTGTGTGGGCCAAAACACACACATAAGTACAATGCCCAACGAAGAGAGCGAATGCAACAATAATAAGTGCAAGAGCTGCCTTTTGCCCATTTTAATGAGGGAATGACAACGAAAATTGGCATCTATCATTAAACGACGATATTCGGGATTAGTGACAATCAGATGAAGACGGCATTTCTTATAATTAACTCTAACCAAGCAAGACGCAACGCCTCAGCGAGAGTTGGCATCACGCATACGCCGCATTGGCCGGGGAGGTGGAACTCTGGGGATCTACGGGGTTAGCTGTCTGTGCCGCTTTATTAGCGATATGGCTTTCTTAATGAACCAAAAATAGATGCACGCGCTCCCAGAATTCCCACAGCCCCGCCCCCTTTCCTTTACTCTTCTTTCCGTTTCTTTCCTTTCCTTTCGGTTTCTTTCCTTGCCTTTCTGTTTCTTTCCTTTACTCATCTTCATTTGTGTGACACTAAGAACTCATGACATCCCTCGCCCACCCTGCGTAACGCTACGGATACGCTTACTTGCTTCAGATTGGCCATTCAAGCATTCAGAAATTAACTCCGCCCGGTTGCGTGTGCTCACTCACTCGGTTCGGTTCGGCTGTGTGGGTATTGCAGCGGAGAGAGCGAGAGAGTACGACCACTAGTGCCCATGGGGCACATGAAGACACCCACACCTCCACTAGCACACATATGGGGTTTTCCAGGAGCGGTAACGGGTGGAGAAGGAGGAAAGGATCTAGTTAGGGTCAGTGTTGGGAAAGGTACTGTGTTTTTTTACCTAGGTAAGGTAAAAGGTATTGGGCAAAAATAAATACCTAGGTAAGGTAAAGGTACTTAAATTTCCCAGTACCTAGGTAAAGGTAAAAGGTATTTATAAGGTATTTTTTATTTTTATAATTATTTTGTTTTGTTCAATGTAATCATTTAAACTTAAAATAAGACTAGTTTTCAGTTATTAGTCGTCTTAATCAAACAATATCTTTTCATTTCATTTAAATTTAAATGTTTTAATTTTGTGCATATATTTTTAAAACACGCGGCATCAATAATTGTATGCACGTATCACTTCATTAATGTATTTATGAAACCCTCATGTACATATTTGGCGCGCAAAAATTCCGTATGTAGAAACATTGACTATATATTGTGCATATGTATATGCCGTTTGTTTACTTACATACGGCATTTTTGCGCGCCAAATACACTTTGGTTTCATAAATAAATTGATGTAGTGATGGAAACATACATACGTGCACAAAATTATATAAAATAAAACTGCGATTAGTTTTAACTTCACAAAACAAACAATAGAACGGCTGAATTCCAATGACTTTTAATGCTGCGTTCCGACTATTACAATTTCGAAACGAAACGATACAATGAAACGATACTACAGTGTCGCAGTCAGATTTGGCTATTTTAAATCAGATCAATGTTTAATACCTATGTAAGTACCTTAATAATTCCAAAGGTATATACAAATCTGTATCTAGGTAAGGTAAAAGGTACTCAATTATTTTTATACCTAGGTAAGGTAAAAGGTACCACTAAATTGTACCTAGGTACGTACCTAGGTAAAAGTATCTAGGTATGTCCCAACACTGGTTAGGGTGCCCAATAAAGAGTGATTAAATTAATAGTCACCTCATAAACACATTAATCTTGGAAAATGTCGAATATCGAAGTATATTATTAACTCTTTTAATTTAAGACCTTTACAGATAATATAAATTGATAAGAGCTACAAAATAGAAATATAGAAGAATTCACTTTGGTATAATTAATAAGTCTCAAAAATCAAATATTTTAATAATCATTAACTTGGAAATGATGAAATTTTTTCTAAGACTCCTAGTACAATAAAAAACTCATTGAAATGAAAACCGAATTCCACACCTTTTATGAAAACCTTTTTGGCCCACCCTCAATTCCTCACCTGCGCCCCTGGGCGCCGAAAGACATTCTTCATTTTTGTTATTTGCCCGCGGACCACTAGTCCCGCACACCAGTGCACGATCATCGCCATTAAAACCAACAAATACAGTCGATCGACCGCCCTCCCTCTCACGGATGGCCCATGTGTGTGTAGCAGAGAGAGCGAGATCTTGGGATGCTGCGTCGACGCGGTGGCTTCCACTTCAACATGGGTGTGGATGTGGATGTAGATGTGGCTGTGAGTGTGGAGGTGATCTTCGGTGTGTGCGCGGACGTGGATGGTGGGCGATCTCGATCGGCAGAGCAGCCGGCAGCGTTAGTCGCAGCAGACACGGGTGACGAGCAGCAACGATCGTTTTTGGAGAGCGCGCCAGGGTTTCCCGATCCAAAACCGTACCCGATCCGAGCCAACCGATACGCAGCGACCCGATTCGCTAGAGATTAAAAGCCAGCGGAAGATCAAAAGGCGCGCGCACGGATCAGTGAATTCGCTTGAAATCGGTAACATTTCAAACCGATCGATCTCACGGGAGGTCCCCCGCAGCCCCGAAAGTCCCAAATAAACCGACATAATACCAAAATCAAAGCGTAGCTAACCCATTGTAGTGTCATTAAGTGTGTGCAGTTCCCGCTTCCCCAATAAGGTGTGATAAGTGCGTGATAATTTTCGAGGCAACCTAGCCGAGTGCGATCGTTTTGGCCCGAAAATGTGCTAATCAGATCTCAGTCTTGGTTCACGGCATCGCAGCCCGACGCTGCCCCGCACAACTGGCGCCAATTTGTATACAAATTTCATGCCTTAATTGAAACTCACATTATAGCCAAGTGCGAAAAGTTAACGACTAGGCGACCACCGACAATCCCCAGAAACGCTTGACTATCCCAGCGAATCCAACCAGAGAAAGTTTCACGGCGGAGTTGGCAAAAAGCAACCGGAGAAGGCGACAATTGCAATTCTGGAGTTCTTCAATCAACTGTCATCGGCCGAAATGGACCCAGGTAGGTCTCTAAATGTATACCAATCAAACTTCTAGTCTTACGAACTATCGAACACCCAACTTTTATTGATTTATCGACATTTTTGAAGTGCCGACGGCAATGGGGATTTCTGAGAAAGTTTTTAACCATTTTATAATTGTTTTTATTTTAAAATAATAAAAGAAAATTTTGTTATTTTTAAGAAGTCATAATAAATGTAATATTATCATAAGTAAATATCTAGCTCACATATTTTGCAATCAAATAAGCAATTTTTAATTGTTGTTCAATTAATGTGCTTGACTTATGAAGTTTCCATTTGTTGTATGTAATCTTAAAAGTTTTTGAGGACAACTCTGGAAGCAGATAATAGTTGTATCCATTTGTATTCATGATTTCTTAATAGACTTACTACTATTTACTGAAATGGTAAAATTCTACCAAATTTCTATTTTATATGTTATTGTAAATTTTTGCTACCCCATTACAAAGTCGAATCCCTTCAGATTTATTTTCGTGACAATTTTTCCCTGTGCACTCAAATCCGCGGCTCAAGTGTTTTGCCAACAAAGCCTTTCGTCCGATCCTCCAAACAAGTCCTGATGGATCCCCTTAGCCTGTGCCGCAATCGCGAGGAGGTAAACACAATCGACTTCTTTCCTTAGTTTTTGGGCCGGGCCAAGAGGCAGGTGTTTGCTTTTGATTTTCGTTTCAAAAGGCTGCCGTCGCTTTGCGCATGATCGACAGCCTCGCGGTAGCCGCGTCACTTGTTTGGCTTTCGATGATGTCGCCGACATCCGTATGGGTATGCTTGGTCCATACCCGATCCCAAAACCGAAAACCAAAAACCCCAATCCAAACTCCGGACCCATGGCCCCTAATTTAACTAATGATCGTTGTAATGTTTGTGCCTTTGTCGTGCGGTCTTCACTTTTGGCTCCAAGTGTCCGTGTCTCTGTTTGTCCATGTGCTTTGGGCCAAAAACAAAGCCCGAGTGCAAGACATTGCCTTATGGCCGAAAACTACACAAGTGTGTAAAGATTTGCCCTGTTGGCGGCAGTTGGATCTATTGACAAACATCTGCGCAATCGAATAATTTGGCGTGCGTCGATTTACTTTAACAAATTTTCAACTGCCTCGATCATCTTCCGAAATAATTGGCTAACGGTTTCGGTTTGGTATTTTCTTGGAATGACATAATTTCTTTACTTTACACTTTTTTTATAGTTTAACCTAGTATATCGAAGAAAAGTAGAATCATTTATCCTAAAATATATTTCATTAGAGACTAGCCAATTCCTTTAATGAACATTGATGGATATTTTTCCACATGATCGGGAGGCACAGAAGGAGTAAGTTGGCTAGTAGGTCCCGCTCTTTGGTCCATTAATGACTTGCTTTCGATGTTTTGACATTCTGTTTGTACGCCGGCATTGTTTGCCCTGTCGCAGACGTCGGAAAAGATATAGACGGGTGTGCAGACGCCGAGAGGGCGACGCAGACCCAAACCAAAACCGAAGCCCACACTCTGGACCAGAGATGCAGAAATGCGTGACTAACGGCCACCGGTAGCCATCTACTTCGGTAGCTAAACATGAAAAGCCCACCAGACGCGGGCCGCAAGTGCAAGATGTTAAAATCACAGAAAGGGGCAGTAAAACAAAAGGCGCAGACGATGGCCACGAAAGGCAGGCAAACACTTGAGATACGAGGAGGAAAACGTCGCGTCAATGTGTACACGCCTTAATGGAAGAGTCTATATATGTAGTATGTAGTATGGGAGTAGGTGCCCAGGAGCTGGAAGTCGGGGAGTGATCATAAAGCCCGACCTGCAGCTTCCTCCCGTGGATACCGATGATTGAAGCCCGGGTTTGGGAAAACGCTTCACTGCCACCACGACTTGATTGTGTGGCGTCGTTTCCCCTGAGTTCTTTAATTAAATCACATCCCCCGCCGCTGATGCGGAACTTTCATTAACCGCATTTGCAGTCACTTTGGGTATTACGGAAGCTTTTCTTGCAGTGAATAATGCGTTTTGACTTTCAAATTAAGGATTAAGTTTACGGATTTAGTTTGAAACATCATTAAATGGTATTATTTCTATTGAAAAATAAATAAATACGTCTCTAAGTATATCATAGTTGACCTAAATTTTTAAAAAATTATTTTAGCTGAAATCGAAAAAATAAACTTTCCCTATCTTTGGTTTTAAGAATCCGATTGACTTAATTTCTTTTGCTTTTTTTTCATGGCTAATAAAAAATGAAAAAAAATAGTTTTCTTAAAATCCATTCGGTTTTTAAATAACGACATATGTATCACTTAAAAATCTGTTGTATTATATTTGTAAGAAAACCGTTTCATTCTTCATAAATACACTTCCAGTAAAAGGTTAAGTTCCCTTTGCAGATCAGTTGACATTTCCTCCCCATTTTGGTGTGGATATGTCCCCACGGATCCACAACCTCTGACATCTGACAAGTGTACTTCTTGTTGCTGAGGATAAACTAAGCTCATTACCATAAATTTAATGAGTTTCTAATCGTTAGGGGGCACGTGTTTGAGCTAGTTCACTCCGGGATAATGAATGCGATCGCATCAATAAGCGGGCGGCTAACATCTGGTCCTAACCCCTAACCCCTTGATGGCCTGTGTGAAGTCCCTCGGGGGCGATGGTGACCCGCAACCGGAACTGCCTAAGGAATTCCAAACTCAATATCTCAGTTTCGGAAATGGAGTCATAGGACCAGTGCTGCAAGCTTGGCTAGTTTCTAGCCAGTTAAAGATTTTTTTTTAGGATTTTTAAAAATGTTGTATTATTTTTCTTATATATTTAAATTAGATGGTTACAGTTTAAAAGGATTTTAGAGATAAACCAAAAAAAGTACCTTCTGATTAAAATATCTAAACTAGTTTAAAGCATTTTTATCCTTTTTAAAATAGCTACTTTGTGTTATCTTTGATTCAGGAGTGGGTGAACTGCAGAACATGTGGTTAGATTTATATGCATGTTGCTGCTGTCAGCGAAGGGCGTTGCACATTGCTCGAGTGCCGGCGAACCCGAACTGCAGCGGAGTTGTCGGTTCTAGTACATTGCCAATGATTGGTCGGATGCGTTGGATCTCTTGGTCTTGGTCTCTGGGAAGGGATGGGATCGGATCGGAACTCTGGCCATGGGTTTTGCATCGACATCGAGCACATTTCGGCTACGCACTCGCATTGTGCGCATTCTTGGTACGCGTAATTGAAGTCGCCGCGGCATGTCTTCTTTGGTTTTTGGGCTGGGTCGCACCCCTTTCGAGTTCCTCGGCTTCGAAGCTAGAGCCGTCATATTTCCTAGCCTTCTCCTCCTCTCCCAAGGGGGCGGAATAAAGGAGCGAGTGCGTCGCTATCTTGGCGGTGGCTGCCGTGATTTATGGACTCATTAATTTCTGTTGACAGACAATGCTGTTGACGCCGCAGGAATCTATTTAGCTTTATGTACTTTTGATTCCCACTTGCTAGGGCGCCTATTTTATGGGCTTCATTTATAATTCGAGGCGCTTGCACTTGATCTATAATAGGAAATAGAATAGAATTGCATCTAGAATAAATCAAAGGATATGTAAATATTTTGAATGAACTTTAAACTTTAGAAAGCTTTTAAGAATTAGAATTTCCGCGTCTCGTTGAAACCAGATTCAATCGATGTTAAGTAAACATAAAGCCATTCCAATCATCACTCTTTCCATTGATAACACTTCGATTTGAACTCTGCAGATTAAAATGGAAAATGGCATTGCCAGCAGATCAAAGTGACAGGCGGAGAGTGGCTTCCTCTTTCTCTTGGCGCGACGATTCTGTGAAATTTACTGATAAATAAATGCGATTGTGCGGCAAATTGTGCAACGCTCCGAATGCAAAATTGTCGACAAGTTCTCGTAGTTAGTATAGAAAAAAAGAAAAAAATCGAAGTGAAAACTAAACTATTTATAAGTCGATGAGGACCGCAACAATGTGGGCAGCCAACTAAACAGTGACAATGTGAGTGGAAGAGTGGAAAAGGGGGCGGGCCACATGGCGTATACGCGACGCGCTGGCTGAGCCTCAGCTCAAGTCAACTGAGTTGTTAAATTAATTTTTTCTGCATGCCGAATGCATATAAATTTTTATAAGATGCAAAGACGCAGCGGCGGAATTAAGAAAATAAATATATGAAGGCATCTCCCCACCGCGACGGCGCTCCGTCAATCAACCTGCTGGGTCTTCTGGGGTCTTCCGAAGGAGAAGGAACCGCTTGCCAAGACCCAAGATTTATGGGAGCAACACGCAGTCGAAAATGCATTCGCACATATTGTATGTTAGTTATGAGAAGGGAAATCCAATTTGCCATGTACTTTTATACTCTCCCAAAAAGTACCAAGTTATCTCAAGTCTCTCAAATTCGAAGGTTCACAATTTTTTGCATAACTGTGTTAGTTCCGGGAATCTTTTTTATGGCATTTAAAAATACAAGATATATAATATCGCTGATTTTAAAAACCAATAATGAAAAATTATCTTTTTCATAAAATAATCTTTTTCACAATAATTATTTAATTACCTTGTAGTTGTAAATATTAATTATAAATGTTTTTTAGTAAAGAGTATTAAATCATTTTGGTATACATATATGTATACTTTTTTGGGGATGTCTTTTTGATGCTGATCAAATCAAACACCAGACCAGAAACCCCAAACAAAATATTGCCCTCAATATCAAAAACATCATTTCATGCCAAATTTATATTCAATTCGGGCCCAACGAACTAAAAATAAGTATCCAAATTGGCAGCCATTTTGGTATTTTGTTATTTATTTTATTTGTTTGCAGTTAATGTTGTGAATATTCAGACAATTACTCAAAGTTTTCTGCGATTTAATACAATTTAGTGGACCATTTTCGTAGAACGCATCGGTTAGTGTGAAAACGTGTTAATTGACGGCCCGCTTATTAATTAAAATGAAATTTGAATGGCAATTTTATTCTCTACAAATAAAAGCCTTATGCCCCCAAATCAAAAGTTATAAATCATACAATGTATTTTTATGATGGCAACAAAATTCTTATCAGCTTGAAATGTTTGAATTTGTTAAAATCAATTAGGCAGAAAATAAGTTCATTGCCTCTCGACATTTGACATCGAAAATGTTCTCAGCGTTCAAGTTTCTGAAATAATCACAAAGTCAATCGGATGCCTAGTTGAAGTTGAATCAAAGTATTTATTTATTGCAATATTAGTTGCAACTTATCAACCAGACAAGGCAAATAGGAAGAAGAGGCATTCGCGATTATCGCATCAGTATATATATTTTTTTTCCAAGCTGATAAGCATAAATGAAGTACATATATTCATGTGACAGTCTTTTAATAGATCCACAAACGCAGCTTACAATTAAATGTTCGATTAAGAATCATGATCCATATGTAATTATATAAGTGTGTAAATATTTTTCAAACCATATTATTTTGTACTTAACGATTCTTTTTTAAAGCTATTAAATAAACGTAACTTTCCAATTAAAATTCCAATGTCTTAAGTAACTTTAAATAGTATTCGGTTTACCAGAAGCTATACTGTACAATCGTATACTCTGAGGTTTTTCCCAGCCCCTTCGACCATTTTGTTTAGCGAAATATTATTTTTAATTAGTTCTAGTTAGTTAACATTCGTTAATTGCTCCTGTAATTGGATTTATGCGCATCAGTGGCTTTCGTGAGCACTTTAATGATATTTTAATAAATTATAAAAAACTTTTAAAGCAATATGTGCAACTTTAATTGCCGCCGGCAAAACTTTGACGAAAGGGCAAGTGTTGAAAAATTTCCAAGAACAAGAACCAGAAATACAAAAAAGAAACTCTCACAAGCATACGGACATTAAAGCCGACATTTCTTTCTGGATTGCGTTTGTAATTTGCTGGTCGTTGGCGGAGTTCCAGTTGAAACAGTGGTCGCCATTGTATTCGGCAATTTCCCAGAATTTATGAATTATAATTTTGCCATATAGACAATTTTAATTGAGCTTTTTATGGGATGTGGAAAGCGGGGAAAGGGTGCAAAAACAGGAGCTGCACGGAGAAAAATAAGATTAGATTAGTTTGGTATAAAATGTCATGAACTTCCAAACATTAAAAGATAATAAGTTAAATTTTTCTTTTTGAAATTTCTAAGTGATAAAATATTTCTATCATAACGGCTCATTCAAGTAAGATCCCCATTTTCTACCACTTTTCTGTGTGTGCGGTTTTTGGGATCTCGAGCCAAGCGTGACCAACTAAGTAAAAGTGTACGATTTCAAAGCAAACACAGCCATTTGTAAGCCATTTGTACCGAAACACACAGATACAGAAGCGTCGGCTACCGAATCCGTTTCCAATTTCCGCTGGGGATGCGAAAGGACTTCGAGGCCAGAGACGAAAATCCATGGGCAAATATTTACCGATCAGACAAAAGCAGTCTTCGTCTCCATTTCGTTTCAGAGTTTATGATTTTTTAAGCTGTTTGCCCGACCTCTTCACAATTCCATAGCTGTTTGCCTTTCATTAACAGAAGCTGCTCAGATCGGTTAGGATGGGATCGTATCGGGCCCAGATTTCACTTTGTTTGCGTTGATTAAGCGCTGACTAGCGGAAAGTCGAGGAGCCAGGAAGGATCCTTATTAGAGCTAAAGTAGCCCAGTCGAACTGATCGCCAGCGGCAGGCGCAACTTAAAATTAAATAAACAAAATCAGCCTCTTAGCGTTCGAAGGTTTTCCCGGAGGCGGAGGCAAACAAACAGGCCAAACAAACTCGAGATGCGACGGCGACCTGGGTAGCACCTAACACACTGCTCCTCTGATCGTGACCGACACTACTCGTATACTCGTATACCCAAACCCACCTCCACTTCCACACCGGTGGCATGTTTGCACCTTTAATAAGACCAACAATCAGTGCCGACGCATCGCCCAAGTAGCCGCTCAAAGGGTCAACGAAATGTTGCACTTGTGATCCCTCGAAAAAGGGGTTTTTGAGTTCTGATCATTGGAATTGAACTGGAACTCGAGACTAACAAGGAAAAATAAATCAGTACTTCAAGACATCTTTTCAAAACCAAGTAATCCTTACTTAAACTTATCTTTTGGATTGATCTTTAGACTTAAGCTCTTTTTATACGAAATGATAAATTTTCAAATTAAAACCGTGCCAATCAATGAGTGTATTTCTAATGTTTGATCTTGCTTTTTCTCGATATGGCCCATAACTGTCGTGGTCAACATCCATCATTGATCAAATTTGCCTTGGACACTGGGCACGTTGCAAAATGTTTGCTCTTGACTCATCCCATCGGTCCGATCGAAGGGGGAATAAATGTGCTGCTCTAATAGGAATTACGTGACTAATTTGCATGTGGTGGGGAGCATTTTATTCTGGCCGGATGTCGATTGGCTGCCATAAATCACAAGTGAGGAGAGACTTACTCACAACTTTGAAGATGACTGCTGAGGGTTTAGAGAAAGTCAAAAGAATATTAACAAATCAGGCAGATAACCGATAGTCGATGGAATTAATTTTCCAATTTCCCGGTTTGCCGAAGGTTCGATTCTTATCGGTGGCATAACTCACATATCATAATTAAACCCCAAGTGCTCAACTTTGGCCGCCATTAATCTTTGGTAATTGCCCGAAATTGATGTCATGCGTATTTGAAAAGCCATTAAAACCGGGCAGCTATCTTGAATAGATCCAAAAGAAGAAAACAAGAGCGTCGATCTTTGTCAGCGACAACTAGAAAGTATTTGTTGAGACAAATTTATGGACGCTTGGCGCAAAAGTCAAGCACTCGGAGATAATGTTCTCAAAGGGACCAACAAATTGCAGCCTTCATTGGACATATTTCGAATATTTTCCACGACGAATGCGGGGATTTAAAAAAGAAACTGAAGGGAAGGTAAGTTTTTTGAGATCTTATATATATATTTTTTAAGATTTCCTTTACTTACCTTCTTCATTGCATCTAACTGAAGATGCCTTTATTATAAAAACCGTATTTTAAATAGCACATTTGTCGTTTCCATGATCTTTGACTCGAATGCCTTCCTTCCTGGCTGGCGCTGGATTTTTTGGAAGCGCACACAGAACCGCACAACTCTGCGTGTAACTCAATTCGTAAATAATTAACGATCACGGGATTACAAATGTCAAACAGAATGTCAGACTGGGGACGGCACCCTCCCTGCCTAAGGGGAAACTGAATCTGCGTGGCTCCTTCTTCAAAGAGCGAACACAAAAACCACCGACTTGGTCCCCGGATGGGTGTCATCCTATCCCATCCTCCTCCCCAGCAGCCCACCAGACTCGATCTCAATGCGTGTGGGTCTGCGGCGAGTGCCAGCCGATCTGTTGTGACTTATGTCAAGACAATTGCGTTACAATATTTTGAAAATTCATAGTGCCAGTGGCAGGCAATGAGAACCCAACAATTGTATTAGAGGTGGGTTGTTAGCCCATAGACAAAGTTATCGTATACCAAATCCCATTTACAAACTAATGTTTAAGAGTAGATATCAGGGTGAGTTCAGAATGGTGTTTCCTAACCACCAGGAGCAGGTGCTGGTGTGACGACTGGTGCTGTAGTAGTTACGGCCGGTGGAGCAGGTTGATCAGGTGCCGAAGTTGGAGGCGGAACAGGAGCAACGGGAGCTGGAGCTCCTGGAGTTGATCCAGGAGGAGGTACCGGTGTTCCTGGAGCTGCTCCTCCTGGTGGTGGAGCTACTGTGCTACCTCCATCCGCTGTAGCATTCGGAGCAGCTTGAACTACGACAGTGCAGTTACGACAAATCACTGAAAGGAATCCATGATTAGGACACTGAAATCAGGATGATATGGGAAGGCGACCTACAAACATTTTCATTATCGCCATCGTCATCACTATCACTTCCACTATCATTGTCATATATCAAATCCTCAAGGAGAGACCACCAGTCATCTGTATCTCGTTTCTAAAAAGAATAGCTAAAAACATTTGATATTTAGATACATCTAATCGACTTACCGTCTTGACAGAAGCTTCCTTTAAAGTCCTGGCCTCAATGCTCAGGAAACTAAAAACGAGGCAAAAGCCCAGAGCGAAAAATATATTATTTCTGGCCGACATCCCGACTTTAACTGACTAGACTGTCTGAGAAACCCGCTTATATAGAACCTAAACACCAATATTTTGTAATATTTTCTGACATTTAGTGTTTTGAAAATAGAGTAATGGGAATTTATGATGGATATTGAGTGGTTTAGACATGTACATGAAATAATCACTAAAGTACTGAAGCATCAACTAAATGAAGTGGGATTTAATATTAAATTTAATTATATTCCAAAAAATCATTTAAAGACAAAAAATTGGGGGTAATATTTTCACCTTATCAATGTAATGAAATAATCCAATGACATATAATTTTTTTGATAAGTTTCTGTATAGTCATGTTAATTTTTTAAGCAGTATACCACAGTCGTTGCCTGATCATATCTGTGCAATGCTCCCATCTATTACGACCACCTTTAATGTGGGGAGATACCCATGTCGATTCCGTCTATTTCGAACAGTTTTTCTTATTTATGCAGCTGCACGTTCGCTTTGTCTGGGGCCCCCGAAACGACCCCGAGTGCAAGTGCTGGCAATGATCGAACTGCAATTGACAAGTGCGCAAATCCATAACCATAAACTATGTACACGAAATTCGACACTGCTGGGGATCATTAGCCGCGGATCGGGGATTAGGGATTGGAGATCGAAGATCGGGTGGATCGGTGGGGGTGGTGATGTCGATGTCGGGCAACAAGTGGGATGGTAATGTGATAGGCCTCGACCATCGGGAAAACGAGCTTGTAAGTCGCGAATTGCCCTTTCTGAATGGAACACTATAGAGGTCGATATACTCCCGGTACATTATCGTTCCTTTGTCCGGTTCCTTCCTGATTTCTTGAGATTGCCGGCACGAGTAACCCGGGAGCTCTATTGTAATTTTTATGGCGCTGCACTCTCTGCAGTACGTGTTGCACTCGGAGTTGCTGTTGTGGAACACGATTCGAAATTAGAAGACGCAGATGTGCAACAGTCCCTCCAACTGCCCATAATTGTAATGGGCTGGACGGCAGTTCCAGACGGAGCCAGAGGTCCAGAGGCAGGTGCCACGAATGGAGTCTCCAGATAAGGGGTTTCCCAATTACCAACGGATAATGGCAAGCTATAATAGTAAAATAGGAGATCTTCTTTGTTTGCCAGAGAGGTATGGATTATGACAGCTTTATTGTATGTCGTTCAAAGCAATGGTTTTGAATTTAAAACTAAATTACTACTTTTGATTTAGTAATGTCGAATAATTATAATATTTGTTTTTTAATATGTGTTTATTAAAATCTGTGCAAGAAGTGTAACTACTTTTTAAAAGTTGTTATTTTTCGATTAATAAGAATTGTATCTTCTACTCTCTTCTCAATTTCTCTGCCAAGTCCATTTCATTCACAATGGTTACCACGGAAAAAGCAAACTTGGCCATCTAAAAATGTGTAAAAATATAAAATGTATTCCCTGTTAATAACTTATTATTCTACTACCTTAATATTGGTGTTTAAGCAAATGGGAAAAATTCCACCGGCGGTGAACAGAATCGACTGCTGGACATTATGAATGAAGTACAGCATCGTGGTTCTATATCGACGCTCTGCACCGATCCACTTGGAATGGAACAATGTGTTGGTCAGGGATTCGCAATCGCTGTTCAGTTGCTCGCAAACATAGCAAAATGGGAAGGTCTGAGAAAGTATGGCAATTGTGTACACTCCAGAGACCAAACGTTCCATTATGGTATTGTAAAATTGCATGGATACCGCTGCCAAACCCAAAAGAAGGCCGACGGATAGCAATTGTATGAACATCGTGGCTGATATCATGGGACGCAGGGTGTTTCCATATCTGTTAGGAACAACATAATGTTTTATACTAGTTTGATAACTGATTTCAATACTCCTTACTCGACAATCAGCTTGTGATCCTTTACACACTCCACCAGTTCTCCGTAATGTTCATCGTCTTCTTTATCCAAATCGGATCGAAGATTCTTGATTCGCTGACTCAAAAGTTCAAGATGGGTCCGCAATATGACCACATACAGAATGGGATAGACATCCAAAATGAGGTTCGCCAAAATAATACCAACCATTGTAACCGTTTCAATGGCAGTGGCCAAGTAGAAATGTTCGTCGGGGTTAACCAGTGGATTATACAGACAGAAAGGAGTCTTTCCGATCACCAAAGCTCCGATTAAGGCCATAGTTAGGTAACCGAAATATATGCCGTGATAGATAACGACAACTCGGTTGCATAAAGCCGCTGATCGATGCACCTGGGTCTTCTCCTCCATCTTGGTGCAACGAACATCCATTAGGTCCATCATCTTCTGGGCCTTGGAAAATCGTCCTCGCATAAACAACACAATAATGCCCTTCATTATGGAGGCATTGGTATTAACCGGCACCTGAACATACGTAAACAGATCGGTGGTCGTAAAGTTCTTCATCTCCTTTATTCCAGTCATTATGAGGCCGTAGGGTATGAAGATAAAGACGAGTACTATGACCACTAAGGACCAAATATAATAAAGCCACCAGAATGGCTTAGTTCTTGGCGGCAGTCTCCATCCCATTTGATCAATGGATCGGTTTAAGTAGATCAGCGAATCGCGAGAGCGAAATAAAGCTCCGAGGATTGGCTCCTGGATATACTTAAAAATCATTTTTTGTCTTGTCCTTCTGAAGGTTAGATTTCACTTAAACTTTGACATTTGACGACTGAAGTCAGTTCTTCAAAGAGGTGTATTTATATGACTTGTTTAATTGCTCAATAGCAAGTTAGTTATTCATAAAACATATAATTATTATATTAGCGATTGACTCAATTGTGAGAAAGTTATATAATATTGATGAACGTTTAGGGTGTGTCTGCAAATGGAAATGTGTCACCTGTTTTGAATAATTGATTGTTTTTGAACAGGTTGTTGTCACATTGTCCCTTTCACAGGGACATTTAATTGCTTTGTTAGCGGATTGGTACAAACTATTGCTTTATGGTAAAGGCAACTCGCTCCTTAGTAGGAACAAGAATAGAATGGCCCGATGTGCACCTATCCTGAGGAGGTGTTCTATGCGCCAAGGGGAAATCTTTGCGTCATCGCTCAAAGTGCATTTCCGCACGTTCCGGGCATTCAAAGTGTGTTTTCCCAGTCACAATCGGCGGCAAGATGCCCGGGGCACCCACATCCGCAGTTCTGAGAAGCAAATGGTAGCGATTTTCAGCCGAACAAACGGAGCTACCCCGACCCACTCATCATGGACTGGCTGATCCTCTGCTCCCCCCGGAACCCCCTTCTAGCCACCCCGGCTCTCTCTCATTTGCCACCGAAACTAATTAGACGCAAATGTGCTTTTGTTCGGTTCCCATTCCCATTCCCATTCCCAGCCAACGCTCTTTGTTTGCACTCTGTACTGGGAATCGGGAATAGCTTTCGGATGATACTGTTGGTGGCTTATGACCCAAAGAATATTTACTTTTTATTTCGAAACTCAAAAGAATGAAATAAATGTAGTGGAATATCCTAAATTGTTATGGTTTAAAGAAAAACTCTCATAATATTATAGATTTTCTGAAAAAGGGTATAAAAACTTTTGTAAAAATTCATTATCCCGCAACAGAAAATTTAATTCGAATTTCTTATCAATCTTCTTTTAATATTATTATGAAAAAGGGTTATTTCTGCCTTATTTCATATCAATAAAAAGCCGATATGATTAATGTCAAAATTAAGATTCAAACATATCAACATGATATTTTATCATATCATAAAAATACCACATTTAGTATTTTTTGAGCAAATAATATAAAAAGAGACTAACATAATTTTTATTCATATCAAAATGATATGAATAACTTTAATTTTAAAAAATATCAAATTGAATGAATGTACACCCAGAAAAAAAAATGACCTAAAATGTCAAAAAATGGCCTAGAATTTAGGTAAAATTGGCCTTAAACTGGAGCTAAGTCCTTGAATGGCCTAAAATTTAGGATTGTATGACCTAAAATGTTAGGCCATTAATGGCCTAAAATGGGGTAATTTTTGGCCTAGATTTTAGGTAATTGGCTGCCTTAAAAAATGAGAAATCCCCTATCTAAAATTTTAGGCTTTCTTTGGCTTAAAAATTTGTACTGAAAAATGTTTCATATTTTAAAGTATATACAGATAAATTTATAGCTAACTCGAGGTCAATGTCGGCTTAGTCTTCAAGAAGTCGTCATTATTCCAACACACAAAAACGAGCGAAGAGGCTTCACAGCTCAGCAGTGAAATCGCTGTCTTATTCAACGATCGAAGTGGGTTACCATGCAAGCCGCGCTATAACTGGTTGGGAATTATAGCGTCGCTAGAACGGTATCAGAGTTCCGTGCAAATTTATTTAGGTAAAATGCATTAATTTTAAGGCCCACGATGACCTAAAATATTAGGCTATACGGGACCTAAATAGTAGGGCAAATATACCAAAAATTTAAATTTTTAGGCAGTACATGACCTAAAAAGGAACTTTTAGTCCATTTAAAATGTTTTAGGCTATGCATGACCTAAAATGTTGTCCATCATTTTTCTGGGTGTATATAATTTTAAAGAGTTTTAAAGAGTACTTTAATGTCGGTTCTCAGCACTTTGACTAATTCCGAACCCGTTTCTCCTTCCAGAGTCGCAGTGTCCGCAGTATGGCGAGGTGAACCAGCTGGGCGGTGTCTTCGTCAACGGTCGTCCGCTGCCGAATGCGACCAGGATGCGGATCGTGGAGCTGGCGCGCCTGGGCATCCGGCCCTGCGACATTTCCCGCCAGCTGCGCGTGAGCCACGGCTGCGTGTCCAAGATCCTGGCCCGCTACCATGAGACGGGCTCCATACTGCCGGGAGCCATTGGGGGCTCCAAGCCGCGGGTGACCACGCCCAAGGTGGTCAACTACATCAGGGAGCTGAAGCAACGGGATCCCGGGATCTTCGCCTGGGAGATACGCGATCGCCTGCTCAGCGAGGGAATCTGCGACAAGACCAATGTGCCCAGTGTGAGCTCCATTTCGAGGATCCTGCGCAACAAGCTGGGCAGCCTGGGTCACCAGCACACGCCGGGCACGGTGATGGGCAGCGGCAGCAGCAGTGGCGGCGGCAGTGTGTCCAGCAACGGGGGTCAAAACCAAGGAGCGAGTGTTAATAACAATCTGGGGAATCTGGGAAATCTGGGCAATCCCGGTGGAGCTCCACACCATCCGCACCACCATCATCATCACCAGACGGCGGCAGCGGCGGCGGCCAGTGCCCATCATGTCCACGCCCATGCCCATGCCCACGCCCACCTGTACAACTCGATCTATCAGCCCTACAGCGCTGCGGCCGCCTACAGCATGAAGGCGGTGTCCTGCGGCAGTCCTTCGCCGCCGCAGGGGGCGGCGGGCGGTCATCAGGGACCTCATCAGCTGAGGAGCGTGGCCGCCGCGGCAGCTGCCGCCCACTGGCCCTCCTCGCACTCGGTCAGCGATATTCTGGCCCACCACCAGGCGGTTGCCCTGCGGGCCAGTTGCCAGGTGGGCGTCGGAGTGGGCGGAATGGGCAGCACGGTCTCTCCGCTGCCCATGACCCCCTCCCCGGTGGGTGGAACCGGGGCCGGGGGTCAGCCGCTGCTCGACTGCGAGGGCGGAGCTGGGCAGCAGTCGCCGTACAACTACTACATGTACTTCCAGAACGGCGGAATGCACCACCATCATCACCACGGCGGAATGATGGCCGCTGGAGCCACCGGATTATGAGGGACCAGGGTTTGGTTGCGGGTCTAGCTACTTTCTATCGCGGTTGTTCAGCCTAGGTTACTCTCTTCTAAGCTTTAGCTTTAGGGATTGGTCATATCACGGCACTCACTTATCACACAAAATCAAAAGTAAATAAACTAAGAGGAAATAAATTCCGCGAGGAATCTGTATTTGTTTTTAGTTATCAGTTTCCTGGAAATTCAACCGAAATAGAACTCTTGACTAAGAAGCTTGCAAATGTTCATAGGAATGTGACTAAACGAATGTAAATAGATAAAATGTTGTGAAAAAGTGTCTAAAAGATTATTTCCACAAGCTCAAGGTTTGTTTAGTTACATTTCCTCAACACAAAAGCCAAAAGAATTCGTTTAAAGCCAGCCATATCACAAAATATTCGTACATGCATTTAAAATTTTTTAAAGAACTTTTTAAATAAAGCAAAAGTGTAAAATGTTAATCTAAATTTTCTTTTAAGGTTATAAAATATCTATACCTTTTTGTATCTCTTTTGTGTGTTGATTGGTTGCCGTGTTTTATGCCATCAAATGTGAGTTGTGGGCTGTCAGGAGTTAAGAACTGGCACTGTCCCCATTTCTTTACGAATTTCATGTAATACTGGAGATTTATCTTTGCGTTCTTTTTTTGTGTTTCATATCGGATTGTTTGTTCTTTGAGTTGGAGCGTTGTCGAAAGTCACGTAAATTACATATAAAATTTTATCGTAAAATGGAAAGTATTGAGTGGTACGTTAATCGATTTAGATACGTGTTGTATAGGTTCTTGTTCTCATAACTACTATTTGTACAATATGCTCATTAAGTAAACTAGTTGACTAATTTATGCTACGATTACATCAATTACAGTTAAACCAAGTGTAACTATCGAATAAAATTGTATTTTTAGACAATTTGTGTAATTACTTGGGGACGGGAGGGTTTGATGTGTGAGCCAGCAAACTGATAAGGGTTTGGTAATTAACAAGTGATATAAAAAACAACAAGATCTAAGGACAGCACTCGCTCTCGTCGGGATTCTTCTTGTTCCAGCCGAAGAAGAAGTAACCCAGGCCCAATCCCAGGATGACGGCCAGGCACAGCCAGTAGTTGAAGGTCATAAAGATCAGCATGAGCAGGTAGGAGATGACGATCTGCAGGAGGTTCAGCAGGGACTGGACGATGTGCGACGAGGCGAACAGGCGCTGCCAGTAGCTCTGCTCCCTGGGTTCCGCCAGGGGAATTTCCGAGCAGCATCCTCCTGCCGACGGAGCCTCGTTCTTCCTGCGCTGCTCGGCCGCCAGTCGCTCGCTCTCCTTCCGGGCTTCCCGACGAGCCAACTGCTGGCGCAGGAACTTGAGGGCCTCATACAGGAAGGACACCAGGAAGATGGCCAGGGCGGACAGGACGAATTCGGTCACGGTGGATGCCACCCATCCCTTCCACAAAATCCGTTCGCAGTGTCCAGCATGGAACTGTAAGAAAAAGGGAAAAGGGTTAATAAAAAATGTAATAAAGTAATAAAAGTGAGCTAAAAGTTAGCTTTATAACAAATAAATCATAAACCTACATTACAAAAATCTTTAACTTTTTTTGTAATTTTTTAAACACAGCTTTAAAATGTATTCACTTTTCAACATTTCGTTGAGCACTCCTAAACTTTTTTTTTCATTGTTTTTTTTATTAAACATAAAAAAATATTTATAAAAAAATATCCCACTTTTAATATTCTTATTCTATTACCCCGCGATTCGAACGCAACACCCTGTATACGCATTTTCAATTTGTATTTGTTGAGAGCGCCTAAAAAAGCGCCAGAGAGCAAATAAATCATTGTGGTGCCTGGCCTGGCACATAAATATACATACTAGGGAGTGACTAGCCAGAGAATTTAAATTCCATTTCGGGCGAGATACTTGCTCTCCGGCTAAATCTCAAATCTCATTCAGCGAAACTGGATGAGTGACTTTAAAATTACAGCTTTTAGCGTATAGGTAAGTGAATTAATATTCGTAAATTTAGATCGCAGGGGTTGTGTAACGCAGTACTTACCACCATGATCATGGGACAGGATTTCGCTGTAGTATCATCCGAGCCGTGGTCATGATCGTGATCCATCTTAAGTTGCTTATTCAAAACAGATATAGACGCAGAGAAGATGTGGAAAATCCGACTTGCGATCGGGGGAAGCACAGTGATAACAATAACCGCTAGACCTGAGGTGCTGAGAGCAGAGCGTTGACTGCTTGAAAGCCACTGCTCGCGAGTGGTTTTTTAAAGAAAATCGACCCTAATCCCACCGACGCGGCGATAGGCAAGTGCGCTTATCTATGAGAAATGGGAAAGGTTCGTTATCAACCAGTAGCGGCGAGATACCAACGATAGTGGGCCCAGAAAAATAATGCCAACCCAGATACAGTCATGTAAATAAACATAGGTGCATTAAGATCTCATTGTAACAATATCTTCATATCTATTGCAGATCCTTATCTCAGGTGTAGATAAAAATCCCTCCTTGATCTTTGATTTTCTCTTCGGCTTGCCATTTTATTTATGGCCTAATGCCAAAGGTTCAACAATCGATTCGAGTGCAGAATTTATTGCAAGTCAGATTATCAATCATGGGCCAATATATCCCCCCAGAAATTGTTGCTGTAATACATGGTGTCGAAACTTTTCCATTCTTTCTTTTCTTCGAGTACGGTTTTATGGCATTCGCCGGATACGTTCATACGCTCATACATAGGTACACATATAGCCGCCGGAGCGATAGCAACCGTCGGACGGCGGATCGCCGGAGGTCTGCCTTAGTCCACTTGGCTTTCGTAGAGTGTTATTTCTAACTGTGCTATTCCTAACTGGGCTCGAATGTCGCTGAAATTGATGGCCGTGCGCAAATCTTCTGCAGCCGTGTGCAAAATTCTACGGACATTCCTGCGCCGTGTGCCAATTTCGAAAAGTTGGTGACGGGCGCAAATATTAACGATATTGCAGAGGGGTAATTGGTTGGGTTATTAGTTGAATTTTTAAGCTTTTTGCTAGACCCATTTGGCGGGGAAACCGTGTGACTCTTACATAGTTATGTTTTTGGTTTTTGGAAATGGTAAAAAACGAAGTTAGGAATGGAATTGGCATGGTAAAGATTTGAAAACAAATGGTTTTTATAGAAAAAATGTTGTGAATATTTGTTAATGTTTTAAAGTGCTTTAAAAAGCGTAGAGGGTTGCATTTTAATTGTATTTTAATCGAAAATATAACTGCACTTCCAATCATTTAAATATTAAAATAATATGTGAGTATGTGTTAATGTTTTTATGTGCTTTAAAAAGCGTAGTGGATTACATTTTAAATGTATTTTAATAGAACACATAACTGCACTGCCAAAAATTTAAATATTACAATTGAAATTTGAATTTCAAGCGCCAAATATGACAGTGATGCCATACTACCCGTTTTTGCTGGTATTTTCCGGTATTTATATACCGCCAAAAATACCACCAATCCAATTTTAGGAATTATATTCATTACCACCAAAAATCTTGCCATTTTTTGTAAGTTTTATTGAAACCCCCGCCTCATATTGTATGATTAAATGCTGTAAGCCTTCAAGGTGTAATTCCAAGGCGAGTTGCAATGTTTGCGCTGAGACACCTGCGACTGCCGAGCGCGCGACACCTTCGCAGCTCTTATGCGGCGGCGGCAACAACAAAACACATGCTGCCCCGGCGAACAGCGCGTGTTCTGATTGGAGATTTGAGCCCGGGCGACGGGGATAAGCCACGGATCCAGGATATATACTCCAGGAGCTCGAGCAGCACTTCCCCTGAACCCGCGAAGCGACTTACGCCGGCGGAGGAACTCCTGGCGGCAGCCAAACCCTACGCCCAACTGATGCGCATCGACCGGCCCATTGGAACCTACCTGCTCTTCTGGCCCTGCGCCTGGAGCATCGCCCTCAGTGCGGATGCGGGCTGCTGGCCGGATCTCACCATGCTCGGCTTGTTCGGCACGGGGGCACTGATTATGCGCGGTGCCGGCTGCACAATTAACGATCTCTGGGACAAGGACATCGATGCCAAGGTGGAGCGGACGAGGATGCGACCCTTGGCCTCCGGTCAAATCAGCCAGTTCGATGCCATAGTCTTCCTCTCGGCGCAGCTCAGTCTAGGCCTTCTGGTGCTCGTGCAGCTCAACTGGCAGTCTATATTGCTGGGCGCCAGTTCGCTGGGCCTGGTCATCACCTATCCCCTCATGAAGAGGGTCACCTACTGGCCCCAGCTGGTCCTGGGCATGGCCTTCAACTGGGGCGCCCTGCTCGGCTGGTGCGCCACCCAGGGCAGCGTCAACCTGGCCGCCTGCCTGCCGCTTTACCTCTCCGGCGTCTGCTGGACCATCGTCTACGATACGATTTACGCCCACCAGGACAAACTGGATGATTTGCAGATCGGGGTGAAGTCAACCGCTTTGCGATTTGGCGAGAACACCAAGGTTTGGCTGTCCGGATTCACCGCTGCCATGCTGACGGGCCTGTCCACTGCTGGCTGGGCTTGCGATCAAACTTTGCCTTATTACGCGGCTGTTGGAATAGTCGGAGCTCATCTCGTGCAGCAGGTAAACTTATGAGTATTACCATCCAATAAGTATTACTTACCCAAGTTCTTAATTCCAGATCTACTCCCTCAACATTGACAACCCCACCGATTGTGCCAAGAAGTTCTTGTCGAATCACCAAGTAGGACTCATTCTCTTTCTCGGCATTGTTTTGGGAACCCTCCTAAAATCAGACGAAACGAAGAAAAAGCGACAGGCGACACTAGCCAGCTCATATGTTCCAACACTCCCCCAAAAGCCAGAAGTTATAAGCTGAGTTTAGCCCGCCCAGCCGAAGTTGTAGGATTAATTAACGTTTATAGCGCGCTTTTTTGTTCGCCAAAACCAAAGTCTCTAGGTATCTGATTAGGTAAAACCCTGTAAATAGGCTTATGACAATTTTTAGTTTATTTGCAATATTTTAAGTGGAAAAGAAGATAGCTAAGTGCAAAGCTCACTTAAACATCAATTAACTTTTTATTGTACGTAAAAGCTTACGTAAATCACCTTTCCCACAAAAACAAACTGGTTTCTGTATTAAATTCTTATGTGTTATTTATTATTATACAGATTTTGGTTGTCTATCGAAAGCCAAATACTCTTCAAATGTATTTACTTCATTCGTTTGTTGTTACGGCTAGGAAAAAAGGTGCGTTACATAAAGGTAATGATAGAAATATTAGCTTAGATCAAGTCGGCCACGTTCATGGGCATCTCGTCGATTTGTGTGGAGTAGTACTGTTCAATGTCGCGCAGGATGCGGATATCGTCCGACTTGACAAAGTTGATGGCCACACCCTTGCGTCCGAAGCGACCCGACCGACCGATGCGATGGATGTACAGCTCACGATTGTTGGGCAAATCGTAGTTGATGACCAGCGAGACCTGCTGCACATCGATGCCGCGAGCCCACACGTCGGTGGTGATGAGGACGCGCGATTGGCCGGCTCGGAACTCCTTCATGATCTCGTCGCGCTCCTTTTGCGGCATGTCGCCGTGCATGGAGCTCACCGTGAAGTTGGCCTCGCGCATCTTCTCCGTCAGCCAGTCCACCTTGCGCTTGGTGTTGCAGAAGATGACGGCCTGGGTGATGGTCAGGGTGTCGTACAGATCGCACAGAGTATCGAATTTCCACTCCTCGCGCTCCACGGCCACGAAGAACTGCTTGATGCCCTCCAGCGTCAACTCATCGCTGTAAGGGATTGGGGTTTAGGGATGCTAAAGAGTAGAGAAGCTATTGTACTTACCGCTTGACCAAAATGCGAATGGGATCTGTCATGAATTTGGAGGTCATCTCGAGTATCTCATGGGGCAGAGTGGCCGAGATGAGCACCACCTGAGTGGCAGGTGGCAAATAGCGGTAGACATCGTATATCTGCTCCTTGAAGCCCTTGTTCAACATCTCATCGGCTTCGTCCAGCACCAGCATCTTGATGGCTCTGTAGGATATACATATATTTTTAGAATAGTTTTAAATGGGTAGTGCCAATGGGTATCACCTTGTGCGCAACACCCGTCGCTTGATCATGTCGAATACTCGGCCGGGAGTGCCGCTCACAATGTGCTGGCCGTAGTCCAGCTTGCGTATGTCCTCGCCCAGATTGGTGCCGCCGATGCACACATGGCACTGGACGTTCATCATGTCGCCGAGGGCGAGGATGACCTTCTGGATCTGGACGGCCAACTCGCGGGTGGGCGAGAGGCAGAGGACCTGGGTCTCCCGCAGCGTGGTGTCCAGACTCTGCAGGATGGAGATCGAGAAGGTGGCCGTTTTGCCCGTGCCCGACTGCGCCTGGGCAATCACATCGCGTCCCTTGACAATCGGTTTGATGCTCCTCTGCTGGATGGCCGAGGGTTTCTCGAAACCTTGGGGGTTTAGAGATCTGGATTAAGCCAAGATCGGCAACTAGGTATACACACCACCACCACTCACCGTACGCGTAGATGCCGCGTAGCAGCTCCTCCTTCAGATTCATCGCGTTGAATGTGGGTATCACCTCCACGTCCTCGCTCGTCTCGAACTCCACGTTCGAGAGGTCCTCCGCCTGGGCATTCTTGCGCGCCATTTTCACTGTTTACTTAGGTGCGAAGTTGTCTGTTTTTAATAAATATTTACAATCTTTTCGGCAAAATTGTCCAACTTTCACGGAGAAAAATGCGGTTGGCTTGAGTGTGACCGTATACAAATATGCATTTTATGCCACTTAAATATACCAAAAACGAGACATGCTGAAAATATCGATTGGATTGTTATCGATTGTTTGTTCTTTACCAGCACTGCTTTTTAAAGGCGCCATTTTTAAAAAAAATAGATGTGAAAAACAACCACGCAATCTTTTTAGTTTTTTAAGGCGTTCTCTAACAAAATATAAACATGTTTATTGCCAAAACATAACAATCAACTCAACTGTGTTTTTGCCGGGCTTCTTCTTCTCCTCCTTTTGACCAGAAAACTGTTCAGCGATTGCAGGTCCTTTCGCCTCAGCATCTTGATCTTGGACACCAGTTTGCGCACTGCATCGACCCGCTGCTGGGCCTCGGCGGCGGCGTCGCTGGCCTTCTTGGCGCTCTCCTGATTCCGCTCCAGATCCGCATGGGCCTGGGCCAAGCAGTTGTGCAGCTCCTCCACCCGCCGCTTGGCGGCCTCGAGAAGACTACGCTTCTCCACGGCATCCTTCTGGGCATTGAGGGCCACGCGGCGGATGTTGTCCAGACTGCCGCCCATCTCCTGCAACAGATTCTGCATGCTGGCCAAGGATATCCGCAGCTTGTCTCGGATGCACTTCGCCGCCTTGGCGGAACTGGAGCTGGCGGCAATGGCCCGCTGGATTTCCTCGATGACTCGCTTCGTTTCGGCCAGACTCTGGGTGAATTCCTCCAGCAGCTGCTTCTTTCCGTTGAGAGCCGCCTCCGCCGCCTTGGCCGCCTGCAAGGCCCTGTCCGCCAGCATGGCCTGGGTTTATAAAGCTTATAAATGAAGATATTTACAATATATTTTGACGGCGATAATACCTTGGCTCTATTGCCCGCACACTCCGCGGCACTTGGCTGTGCATCCTTGGCGTCCTTTGCATCCTTCGCTGCCTTCAATGCCATCTGACTGGCCTTCACATTCGTCTTGCAGACAAAGGACCCCGGCTTAAAGCGCGGATCGTTCCTCTGAGCAGAATTTGCTGTGCTCATGAGCAGGATGTTCACTAGAAGCAGCATCGTAACCAGGGACTCGTAACGCATCGGGAATCTCGCATCTTACATAAATCTCAAGGCTCGTCTGGAAAACGAAATATGTAGGTTTTTTAGGGTGATGTGACAGGCGGAAAATTCAAGTCTCTGATTTATAATAACGGGTAAGGCCTGATCAATTGTATTTTTTCTCCTTCTGTCTCAGGAACCTTTTTATTTTAGAAGTTTGAAGAAATAAAATACATCTTTCGAAAGAATTCAAATATTTTCAACACATTTAGTGACTTGTACTAATATTTTGGATTAAGTAGCAGTTCTGCTTTAACTAAGGATTTTTTTCTGAGTATATACACCCAAAAAAAAATCTATATAAAACGTAGATCGATTTGTCGTTATTTAAGTTCAATTTTCATTTGATATGCGGCGAGGTAAATTTGACCTGGTCAAAAAGAATATTTTATATAAAAAAGATATCGGTTTTGCATGACCCTAAAATTTACATGTTTATATCGATTTTACGGGAACAAGCTTTTTTTTGTGTGTATACTAGAATAACCCAGTAGGCATTTTAGAAGCAATCTGATTCTTAAGTATCCGCTTCAAAAATCTCCACGTTAATTGATAAAAGTTATTTCACCTTAAAATAAGCCGAGTATGGAGATAAACCCAGTTGTTTTTCTAATTCTCCTCTTAATCTCTGGCCTTTCTGAAGGCTATAAGTTGGCGCAGGTAATTCATCCCCTCAATGACTATTAATCGGGATAACCCTTCCCTATATTCTCAGCCCTCCAATGAGATATCGGGCCTGATCTCAGATCATCCTGGTTCTGACCATTGTCCCTCGTCATCCTCATCCTCGGAGGGTGGCAAGTGCGGCATCAAGTTGGACGGAAAGACGAACGTAAAGGCCTCCAGTATTGCCCAGAAGGCGGCCAAGGAGGCCAAGGACGCCTCGGATGCCCAAATGGAGGCGGGGGAGGCGGCAGCTCGCCAGGTGAAACAGCAGTTGGCGGACAAGGCACTGGCGGCTGCCAAGGCGGCGGAAGCGGCTTTGGCCGGCAAACAGCAGATTGTGGAGCAACTGGAGTCCGAGGTGAGGGAGGGGGAGCTGGTGGTGCAGGAGGAGAGCACTTTGCTGCAGACCACCCAGACCACTTGTGCTGCTGCCGGACAAGCGGCCAAACAGGCCGCTGAACAGCTAAAGACCATCACGCAGGCGGTGAAGAATGCCCAGGACAATGTGGTCAACTCGGAGCACGTGGCCAGTGGAGCCCAACAGGAGCTGGGCGAGAAGCAGCAGCTCGTGGATGCGGCCAAGAAGCGGGTGGAGCTGCTACTCCGCCAATTGGAGGTGGCCCGGGCGGATTTCAAGAACACCAAGAATGCCGCCGAAAAGGCAGCCTGTGCCGCCCAGGAGGCCAGGCAAAGGGCCACTCGGGAGCGTCGAAGGGCGGAACTGAGGCACAGACTGCGTTTAAAGAGGGCGCACAGTCACTAGGATCTCTCAGTTTTATATTTTATATTTTTCTTGATTTTTTTACGCCTGAAAAAGGGCCTGGAATGTCTCATTTATAAAGTTTAAATTTGTTTATATTGCTACTTATATTATATTTTTATTTTCCAAAATATAAGTATCCAAAACAAAAGTATCAATTTAATATAACTGGTAAAAATACATATATTCTGATATTCATTATTTAAATAATTATTAATTATTCACGAGTATTATTACAACTACACAGAGAAAAAAACGGAACAATATGGAACTGATATTGTTTCATATCAATTTTTCCATAACAAAATGGTATGATTTCATATCAATATGGTACAAAATCATATGTTCGGAAATATCATTTTGATATGAAAACAGATGGGCCGAAATTGATATGAAAAAATACCCGATGGATGATTATTTTTGGTATTTTTTTTTTCTGTGTAAGAAGATATTTTTACGGAAACTACTTCTGTAATTATGCTGTAAAGGCCACAGTGCGAACATGTGATTAGTTCATATGGTAACAACTAAATGAACTATTATTTCTAACAAAATTAACTTAAATTTCATATTTTAGTTCCGAAATTGTACAACTTTAAAAATAACAAGAGAAAACGCTATAGTCGGGTTCGTGTCCCGACTATCTAATACCCGTCACTCGGCTAAAGGGAGTGCGAGGGAGATGGATATATACCATTTCTTTGATTGCGTATAACTTTTTAATGAATGGTCCGATTTAAAAAATGTCTTCTACATTTCGATAGGTATAAATATGCACAACAAAATTGCATTTATACTTCTCGGAAATCTTTAAAGGTGTGGCCGCCAGACACATTTTAAAATCGTTAATGGGCGATTGTGGGCGTTAGAGGGGGCGTGGCGCTCGGCTGAAATAAACTTGCGCTGCGTAGGAAGCCCAAGAATATGTGTGTGAAATCTCAACCTTCTAGCTTTTGTAGTTTCCGAGATCTCAGCGTTCATACAGACAGACAGACGGACAGACGGACAGACAGACGGACAGACGGACAGACGGACATGGCTAGATCGACTCGGCTAGTGATCCTGATCAAGAATATATATAGTTTATAGGGTCGGAAACGCTTCCTTCTACCTGTTACATACTTTTGCACGAATCTAATATACCCTTTTACTCTACGAGTAACGGGTATAATAACAAGGACTTGAAAAAGAAAATATTTTATATATTTTTTTCTTTTTATTTACTTACAATTCAGAGATAATATATTTACAGAACAATTATATTTACTATATAATGTTATAAAAAATATATATACTTAAGATCACAATTATATCAATAGGATTAATATTATCCTAGTTATTATTACCGCAAATCAATTTAATCCTAAAATCGCAATTCCTCTGATTAAAATATTCACCAAGGGGCGTTTACTCAAGACACCCCGCTAAACTTCCGACTACTCCTCCATGTTCACACGCGGATTCGCGAGGAAGCGAACAATCATCGTCTTTCGTCATATGCAATCTCACCCGGAGCGGCATTTAAAGCGTCGCATGGCAATTAGAGGCTCTTCCATAATTGCGGCTACAAATTATCCAATCGGCCAGCCTGGTAGCATTGACCCAGCACCATTATTGTGGATACAATGTGTTCGCTACGAGGCTGAATCTCGCAAAGAAAACTATCATCCAGCGGCCAACGGGTTTGCACTTTCTTCGGCCATTTCGACCCGACCAGTTTGTTTATAAATACATGGCGCCTCCGGTGGCCAACTGGCAATCGTCGTCGAGTCTCCACCGGATTTACTGAGCCATTCGCCGCTCCCAGCTTTTCCGAGTGCGAAAGTAAAAGCGTTTTCCACCGAACCCGTCCATCCACATTGCCTTCGTTTCGGCCGGCGATCCTCCGCTCGAATCAGAAGCATTTCGCCTTTGGTCCACACAGGATCGCAGTTCGTGTCGTCGGAATCATCGAGAGGTGCGTTTGATGCCCACCTGTCAAATCGGAGTGATAACTGGGTGATTTGTGAGCTGTCCAGTTTTGCTGGCCTTAAAACTAAACAGGTTCTCGCGGGGAACATTTCGTTCCGTGACACACTAACGACTTGCCGGTCATCCTAGACCAAAGAAAGTGCACAGCCAATTATTTATTAGCTAATAGGCAAAGCTACAGGCAAAGCAGCCACGTAACCGGTTGCCAAGTGACTGTTATTATGCACTCAGAAAAAGTGTCCTTTAGGTGGAAAAATATTTACTTTTTACTTTCTTTTATTACTTAAAAAATAGTTTGCACTGAAGAACAAGAATACAACATTGGTTAAATAATAAAATTATTGATATGATTTATTTTAATTTCATAAAAAGAACTTAGTAATTGATTTGGTATCCACAGATTTCTGAATGTGGTTATATTAAAAGAAATAGCATGATTCCAAAAAAACAAGTTAAGAAAGCATACACTCAAAACAAAATCGATATGAAACCATTTATTTGGTTGATTAACGTCTAAATAAAAAATTTTATATTATCGGATGAAACGAAGATCAATTTTATATTATGTAATATCAATTTGATTTTGATACGGGGCCAGGTAAATTTGATATGGTCGAAGTGAAAATCGATATGGGTTTTGCATAACCAGAAATTGACATGCACATATCGATTTTACGGCGACATGTTTTTTTTGTGTGTACCTATTAATAAAGAGATAGTATGGGTATTGAAATTTAGTTTAATTTTAATTCTATAGAATTTGAATTTAGCAAATGTAGTAAAAAATTACGCATTGTATAATGAAAATTCGACTCCTAAAGAAGCTTTAATCTTCCGACAACCTTTTTAATTTCACTTAATTTGGTTTTCCTGTAGACTTTATATCCCAGAGGAACACATCACGATCCGATCACGAGTCTTCCGGTAGTCCAACTTCCTTTTCATTCGCCACCTGCTCCATTGCATAATCGCCCGCGAGGAGAGATGCCATCGCTTGTGCACCTGCTGCTCCTGACGCTGTTTTTGGGTGAGTCGCACACCAAACACCACGACTTCCTCATGCAAATCTGGCTTAATTGGGGAATTTCCCTCTGGCGACTCTGTTGATTTAGTGGCCATGCCGGCGCTGGGTCGCAAGGTGAAGCGGAAGGAGTCGCACTACCACCACCACGTCAATGTTCCGCCCCCGCCGCCGCCGCCTCCATCTCCCCAAGGACCGAGTCCAGTGCCGCAGCAAACGGTGGTGATCGAGCACGAGGTGCCACCGTACACCTACGAGGCAATTAACCACGATGAATTCGAGCCGGCCAAGGTGAAGCTCTCCCACTACGAAGCCTCCTCGGATTACATAGCCCACCATCTGCATAATGGAGGAGGCGGAGGAGGAGGTGGCTACCTGGCCGACAATGGACTCCGCAGCATTGCCAAGGGTTCGGCGGATCAGGCCCTGTCCGCAGTGGCCAGCCAAAATGCAGCCGGGAAACAGGCTTCCTATGTGGCCAAGAGCACTCTGGCCCAGGCGGCGGCCCAGGCAGCCGGCACAGCAGTGGCTGTGCTGAAGGGAAAGGAGGTGCTGCTCCATCGACTGGAGGATCAGAGCGTGGAGGCCCACAAGGCGATGGAGAACGAGCTGACGCAGCTGCAGCAGGCCAAGAGATCGGCGAAGGCGGCCCAATATGCCGCCCAGCAGGCCATCAACCATGTGAGCGTCCTGACCGCCGCCCTCAACAATGCCCAGTCCGCCTCCGAGTTGGCCCAAAAGGCCGCCTCCGAGGCAGCCGCCGAATTGGCCTCCCAAATCGATATGGTGGCCCAGGCCAAGAGCAAACTGGAGCACGCCGAATCGCATGCGTATGCAGCTCGTTTGGACTACGAGGAGACGAGGGACGCGGCGGAGAAGGCCACCCTGTCCGCCCAGGAGGCCCACTTGAATGCCAACGATGCCGCCCTGCACGCCAATGTGGAGCTGGCCGAGACGGTCCACATCCACGACAAGAGCGACCGGAATGTGAGGGAGCCACCGCGGAACCACCGACGTCCATGATTGATTTTTAAGTTTTAATCCTTATTTATTTGTTTTCCTTATTTAATGACTATGTTGTTGCAGCTAATGAATAAAGTTTTGTTGATATCTTACTTTCTCTTCATGATTCAATATTTTCTGGGAAAACAGTTGTAATTAAGGTACACAAACCGAAAAAAGACACGTGAAAGAGGTAGTTTTTCTGAAACTCGTTTAATGTTTTCTATTGACTATTTGTCCCAATTTAAAAAAAAAGATGATATAACTTGCTAAATATTTTGTAATAGAGGAAAAACGGAAGATAAACACTTAATTCGAATAATAGACTTCATTTGAGTTCGTTATTTAATTAACAAGAATGGAATTTAACCAATTTCAGATGAAATATTTGAATGAACCGCCCAAGCAAAGACAAAAACCGTAGTAATGGTTGGGATCTTTACTAGCTTTGTTATTTTTGTGATATTTTGTGAGGTAATATTTTCGAATGTTAGCTACGGTCTTACTTTTGTTTACAAAAAAAACCGGCTTCAGTTTTTATAAAATAATACGAAAAACAATTCACTATGAGTCGCACGGAGCAAACCTTCGACGACCTGAAATCGTACTTCCGGAGCCACAGCAAAATCCGCGAGCAGCGGGCGCACATGTCCAAGGTAAACACGATTTCCCGCCAATTAAGAAGCATCTCTCTGCAATCCAAGAATCCCCCTTTCCACATCCACAGGTTCACTCGGTTTGCTGGAACGCCGATGGTCGCCACCTGGCCTCCGGATCCTTTGACAAGACGGTGGCGGTCTACTCCCTGGAGCGCGATCGCTTCGTGAAGGGCAGCATTTACCGCGGACACACTGGATCCGTGGACCAGCTGTGCTGGCATCGCACCAATCCCGACCAGTTTGCCACCGCCAGCGGGGACAGAACCGTGAGGATCTGGGACATACGGGCTGGGAAGTGTGTTTCGGTGACCAATACCAAGGGCGAGAACATCAACATAGCCTGGTCGCCGGATGGCAAGACAATCGCCGTGGGCAACAAGGAGGATCTGATCACGTTTATAGACACGCGCACTAATAAGATTCGCGTGGAGGAGCCCTTCAGCTTCGAGGTCAACGAGATATCGTGGAACAACACAAATGATCTGTTCTTCCTGACCAATGGATTGGGATGCATGCATGTGCTCAATTACCCCAGCCTGGAACACCAGATGACTCTGAAGGCGCATCCCGCCAACTGCATTTGCATAGAGTTCGGACCAACGGGTATGAAATATCAGGGTTCGGTAAATAACTTGTGTTAAATTTCAAGGTGTTAAATTGTAGCTTACATATGTTAGAAACATAAATAACACACACAGTTTATTTGTGCTATTTACACGACGTTTTTTTTACACAACGTGTTTTTAACACAATGAGTTTTTGACATTAAAACGTCAGAAATATATGCTTTGAAAATAACAATTAAGATATCCTGGCCCAATATTGATTTTTCATTTTTTCTTCGATTTGTTATTGTCCATAAAATGTAATTATCATTTGTGTTAAAAACACAGTGTGTAAAAAACACGTCTTGTTAATAACACATTGTGTAAAAAACACAAGTGAGCTGTGTGTGCTAACAACTATTTTTCACATTTTAACACTTTCGTTTTTCACACACACTGTAAACTACAATTTTACATGTTTTTAACATGTGTGTTAAATTCCGAACCCTGTGAAATTTATCCTTACAACAGGATTAACACTGAAATTTCTAACTTTTGATTCACCTACCAGGTAAATACTTTGCCACCGGCTCTGCGGATGCCCAAGTGTCTCTGTGGGACGCCAACGAGCTGGCCTGCCTGCGCATGATCAGCCGCCTGGAGTGGCCCGTTCGCACCATTTCCTTCAGCCACGACGAACGGCTGATTGCCTCGGCCAGCGAGGATCTGATCATAGACATTGCCTTCACGGAGACGGGCGAACGTGTGACCGACATCCACGTAGAGGCCTCCACCTTTACGGTGGCCTGGCACCCGAAGCAATACCTTCTGGCCTACGCCTGCGACGAGAAGGATAGCGAAAGGCGACGGGACGCTGGCAACGTTAAGATATACGGCTTTCCGGAATAAACACCCTTAGTTTAAGGCTCCTTTTGCTAGTAAAAACCTAGTTTGCTTTCCAATTATCGTGGAGTGTAAAATGATCGACTTTTGAAGTCACGTCGCTGGCCAGCCAACTGGATTATCAATTGCAGCGACTCGCCTCTGGACGTGTTCGTAGCTGCAATTTGAGTTTTATCTTTAACGGCACGCTTTTATGGCATCACAGGACCCACGGGCTGTAACCTCCTGTCTGCCTCTTAATACTGCATCAATCGGGAGCTGCAAGACTGCCTTTGCTGTGGGCCAGCACTTGGCTTTTATCATGCAAATAACGACACTGGCGGATGCTGACCTAATATAGGTTTACGGTTATGGCTTCCTACATTTTAAGCTATTAATCAGTGGTCGCACTCTGAAGACGGCTTAATCAGAGCAGGGGATTGCCTTTAAATGCTGGTTTGTGTGAATTGGCTCCATTAGCCACGAAAACTTGAGAGCAAAAGAGGAAAAGTTGCCGGGTGATTGGGAGTGGGTGGTGTTGTGCTGCCTTTTTCACCCTTGAACTTTCAGCAAGTTGCTAGTGACCAACAAACAGGACGAATAAGATGGGGTTTCCCCCAATATGTGTATGTATCACTCATACGTTGTATATCCCTTTCGCGTGCCAAGTGCAGCGGCAAAAGCTATTTGTATGCCATCCGCACATTTCCCGCCAAGTGCACACAGCCTTTTCCACCCACCACCCACTCGAAGTAGCATCAATATTTGCTTTACTAAAAGTTTTCGATAAATTTCGGTTTGAACGGACAGTTCCGCTCGGTTGGAGGGGAAAGTAAGGATGGGGGAGGGTTTAAATTGGATACTTGCATTCAATAATAAATCACAGTTAATTGTTATTAATGGACTAAAAGTGCAACTTTGACAAAATGCAAAAAATAAAAAAGCTAACTTTCATTTTTAATAACTAAATAGTAAATCAGAAAATTTTGTTTTTACAAAAATACCAATGACCAATGAATTCTTAAATTTTTACCTTAAAGTTTCGTGTGAGCAACTCGGTAAGCGGTAGTTATGAATGTCAAGAAATCATCGGGAAATCAAATGTTTCTAAATCCTCGTTGCAAAAATGAATGTAAAGTAATATATATATTTTATATATAAAATTGTTCCATTATAAACTGGGTACCTACAATCACTGTGTAGTTTTGATATTTCATTCGATTTTCATCCCTTCTTTAAACTTCTGAAATTCTCCTCTCAACTCAAAGCAAATTCCATTTGGTCGTGTAGCATTATTTAAGTCAATTGCAGCCAAGGTAATCACAACGCGCTTTCTTCCGGGAGGAACGTTGAAGCCGGCACCAAAATATAGTTTAGAGATAAATGGTTCGAAAACATATTCAGTCTGCAAATAGAACATTTTTGAGAATAACAATAATACGTAATCGGAAATATGTCGCTTACTCCCATATTGGTGAAGCATTTTTCCATAGCTTCCTCTTTGTTGATAATGTACTTTGGAAAACCTCTGTACCAATATTGTTTCGGGTCGAGATATACTTTGCAAAAATCTCTGCTTATCAAATTAAGTATGGTCGGTTGCCAAGTACCACGATCCAAATGAAGAACGCTAATATGACCCTCAACGCGATCTGTTGGCTGAACATCCCATGTGGAGGTTATTTTCCCCTCTACGTGAATCCCATCTGGCAACATTTCTGTGTGGAAATCCGAAAAATCAAACAGTCCAGAAATATTCGAATATCCAGGGGGATTATCCACACATGCAGCAAACACCGATTCGTCCTCCAAAACATATTCGTAGTCGATCTGAAAGGATGGTTTTATCATCCTTAGCACGATTATTATCTGCCACAGCACAAAAAGGTTGAAATACATTTTACAATTTTCTTCCACAAATGTGGTACACATCTATTTGATGCTGCTTTTATATATATTTCGGATATAATCATCGACTTCCTGAGTAGATTTTTCGACTTGATTGTTTATAGTAGATATTGTAGATTTTGATATTGCTAAAACGTGAGCAAGATTGCCGTGTTGATTAAATAAACGAACTATGGAACATCAATTATTAAAAAAACATGAAGAAACGGTTTAATCAAATGCCCCGACTGTCAATTAAAAGGGCTGAAACTTAAATAAAATTCCAACTCTAATCACTCTGGACAGCGGTCCGGAGCATGTATGATATTTTTAAATAAGATTATATATAAACTGCTAAAGAATTTTTAAATAATTAATTGTAATTTAAATCTAAATCTTAATCAAAATCTACATGTCACACTGTTTTCATATCTACTTGAATTCTACATGTAAGGCTTAACAGACGCTCCCCATTACATTCAGCGCGGCTGTAAAGTTTACATTTGGCTGCAAATACATGTTAGTTAACAGAATTGAGTTTCTCGCATGCGATAAATACATCTGTTCTATGGAAATGAAATGGAACACTTCTGTTAATATTTTCCCCTTTTGAAAAGGCTGTAAGGAAGTGTACATATGTATGTACTTATTCATGTAGAGTTTTATAAAATTTGTCAAAACTGTGTAAATTATTTGTTGTTAAATCATTACAAGAATTCAGAAAAAGTATTTCTTAAAATTATGGGTTCAGTCAAATTTTGTAAAAATGTATAATTATTTAAAAATACAAATAACTATGATTTTGATAAAAAATTATTTTCAAAAAAAATTTTGGCTGGTCTTTTATTAGTAGTTCATTTTGTTGGTTTTTCGTAGACCTGTTTTCCGTTGTACTCTGTTGTTTTCTAGTTGTTTGAGTGACAGCATCAAATGTTCCTTTGATATCGGCTGCTTAATTGCCATGTATTTCAGCCCACAAAATCTTATGGTCGCTTAAGCTTTTCCTTTAATAAAGGGATAATAAAAGGATGCATTTTTGGTTTGCTCCTAGCCAAATGTGACATTTCTTTGTTCTCCAAATTTCTAAAGAAGTCACAGTTGTTCTTCAATCCTGCGCAGATAATGGCCAATTGATGGGAAACGCAAACATGAAAAAATGTCGACTGCAAGTCATAAACTTTAAAAGGGAAAACCTTTTCTGGCCAACTTGCTTCTGCCCAAAACTTGCTTCTGCCCATTTCTGCTGTCACTTTCGACAAACTTTGACAACACAACGAATAGATTTCAATGGAGGATTGAGAGGGGCCGAAACTGTGGAATTTATGTCGGCTGTCGTCGGGACTTATGCGCTTTCGACTGCTGTTTCCCCAAACCAACGTATTGATGGCCAAACTTACTTCAAGTGCACGTAAATTGGCCAAAACTTTGTTTACAGTTGGCTGCGGTTGACATGTGCACGATTTAGTTTTCAAAAAGTATAAGTTTCTTGTAAATAGTTTTTCTATCTCTGTAAGTAAACACACAAGTCACGCTTTTTGTGGATTTGTAGCATACTGCTTTGAATTTTACCAATTTGTTGCATACATATATTTCTAGAGTGCCTGAAAAACTCCTAATATAAAATTAAAATTCTTAAAAATGAAAGTACGCGGGTTTTTTTTTAAATTATTTTCAGTGCTGAAAAATGATAATAAAACAAGGTTTGAGGCTTTGCTATGCAGGGAGGGTGAAACCGCTAGGCTAGCTAAGACACCCTCCTGACATTTTAGCGTGACCGTTTGGAATGTTTTAGGGCATTATTTCGCAGAGCTCATATGTCCAATTGTTTTCTGGACAATTCCGTATAAAATAGAAGTAAATAGAAATAGGGGGACGCCCTGAGTTCGGAATTCTTTGCAAGATGTCCGTGCGCCACGACTGGTACCAGTCCGAGACCAAGGTGGTCATCACCGTGCTCCTGAAGAACGCCGCCGACAAGAACTATGCGGTGGAGATTTCCCAGAACCGCGTCCACATGACCGCCGATGGCTATGAGTTGGATCTGAAGCTGCTCCATCCCATCGTCGTGGAGCGGTCCTCGCACAAGGCATTCCCCTCCAAGGTGGAGATCACGCTGGCCAAGGAGACGGGCGTTCGCTGGGAGAATCTCGAGGAGAAGAGCGTGGTCGTGGCCGCTGCTCCCGTTAAACCCAAAACCAAGAACTGGGATCAGCTGGTCAGCGAGGAGGAGAAGATCGACGAGAAGGAGGCCAAGGGCGAGACGGCCCTCAACAACCTGTTCAAGAAGATCTACAGCACCTCCTCGCCGGAGGTCCAGAAGGCCATGAACAAGTCCTTCTCGGAATCCGGAGGCACCGTCCTCAGCACCAACTGGAGCGAGGTGGGCAAGGAGAAGGTCACCGTGAAGCCACCGGACGGAACCGAGTTCCGCGAGTGGGAGAAGTAGGGAGTGGAGTGCCCCTACCCCTGTATTTATAAAGTCCACAAGAGAGAGATTAAAAGAGAAACACTAATATGTATATTTTTACGCATGGATCGGCCAGCAACCAAGAACAAACGTTACAAACAAACAGAAACTAACAAGAATTGTTTTGAATAAATTTGATTTAAGCATTGCACTTGCAGTAGGGTTTTTGCCTTGGGGGATTTATCTTAATTTTACCATGACTTGGCTTAGTTATAAAACAATCAATTTATTTACCATGGTTATAAAAACTCAAGCAGATGTATTAAAACATAAATACCATCTGGCTTTAAGATCTCAAAAATTATTTTCAATAGTTGTACACTGAAAAGTAAATATGTATCTACAATTGTTTATACATTTCTGATTAGCGTAAATACCCATTGTTCTAGTCATAAATCACTATAAGGCATATGTACATATGGACTTTTACGAACTTTACTCAAAATAAGCACGCTTCCGCTTATCAAGAAATCTTTATCGCTTCATTTTCTGTGCATATTTTCGAGTCCGCTTAAGAGAACAACTTTTACAGCTTTTAGTTTTAAATGAAATAATAAATTATTTGTTTATACATACATATAAATTTTGTTCCTAATACATTTTTATAATAAAAACAGGATCTTAACGTTAAGAAGTAACTACCATTATACTATCAATTATGTTTATTTTTTTATCAGTAGCTGATAACTTTTAAAACCACCCCCTTACTCAGTTGAAACGTTCTCATTACAAACAGCTGATCGCCAGACCGGGTTGCAGAAATACGTGTAAAAATAAACGCACAATTACCTTTCCCTCGCACAAATCGGACTCCAATCCCTAAAAACTCCAAGATGTACAAGAATCTGGAGGAGCACAACCGGCTGGTAAACAAATACCTAAAGATATTCTTCGTGGTGGCACTTTACTGGTAAGAAACTAAAAAAGAGGAGCGGCGTTTTATCTGAACTTTCGTGTCTTCCACAGGTGCACCTCGATATTGACGGTCTTTGTGAACAAACACCTGCTGAGCAGCGATACAGTGAACCTGGGGGCGCCGCTCTTTATGTCCTGGTTCCAGTGCGTGGTCTCCACGGTCATTTGCTTTGTGGCCAGCCGTCTGAGCCGCAAGTACCCTTCGGTTTTCTCCTTTCCCGAGGGGAATCCTTTGGATATCGACACCTTCCGCAAGATCCTGCCGCTGTCCGTGCTCTATACCCTGATGATTGGGGCCAACAACCTGTCGCTGTCCTATGTCACAGTGGCCTTCTACTACATCGGTCGCTCCCTGACCACGGTGTTCAGTGTGGTCCTCACCTACGTGATCCTCCGCCAGCGGACCAGCTTCAAGTGTCTGCTGTGCTGTGCCGCCATCGTCATTGGTTTCTGGCTGGGCGTGGACCAGGAGAGCCTCACCGAAGTCTTCTCCTGGCGCGGCACCATCTTCGGAGTGCTCAGTTCGCTGGCCCTGGCCATGTTCTCGATTCAGACGAAGAAGTCGCTGGGATATGTCAACCAGGAGGTGTGGCTGCTCAGCTACTACAACAACCTGTACTCCACGCTGCTCTTCCTGCCCCTGATCATCATCAACGGGGAGCTGGAGACCATTATAACGTATCCGAACCTGTGGGCTCCTTGGTTCTGGGCCGCCATGACTTTGAGTGGAATTTGTGGCTTTGCTATTGGTTTTGTCACGGCCCTGGAAATCAAGGTAATCGGAAAAACCACATGTTAAGTTCTCATCTAACCCGGAATTTCGATTCCAGGTCACATCCGCCCTGACGCACAATATCTCGGGCACAGCCAAGGCCTGCGCCCAAACGGTGATAGCCACCCAGTATTACCACGACGTTCGATCGGCCCTCTGGTGGACCTCCAATGTGGTGGTCCTGGTGGCCAGCGCCGCCTACACGCGGGTCAAGCAGCTGGAGATGCTGCGCCAGCACCAACAGCGCAGCACCGCCACCCAGAAGGCCTAGGAGCAATGCCAAAGTAATGTAGACTGTTTAGGACTCTAGGAAGATGTAGGTTTAAAGTATGCACAAACGATCCATCAACAAAATACATGACTTCTGTGTTAACTAATTGGAGGCCACGGCTGCTTTTTGTTCCGCCGGCTCCTCCTGCTTTCTGGTCTCCTTCTTCGCCGTGCTCTTGTCCCACATCTCCGGCACATAGACATAGGGATCGATTTTCAGCTGCTCACTGCTGGGCGGGCTCTTCAGCAGGACACGGGTGATGAAACGACCCTCGCGCTTGGGCCTCATGGTGTTGACATCCTGCAGCAGGAACTTGATGTTCTCCTCCAGCTTCTGGGCGTCCATGTCCAGAGTGCCCACACTGGCGGTGATCAGGCCAAAGTTCTGCTGGTACTCATCCTTGGCCGCACTGTAGCTAATGCCGCTGGAGAACTTGACGATCATCTCGGCCAGATTGGTGCCCAGAGTCTCGCTCTTGGGATTGGGAAACTTGCGCTTCATCAGGCCGCGCAGGGCCACCAGCTCGGCCAGGATATTGGGATGGGCGATAACGTACTGGTAGTCGGAGAGCAGCAGCTCACCGTTGGTTATGTCCTTGATGAGCTCCACGCCGCCGACGAGCGAGGCTCCAGCTTCCCTGGCCTCTAGTACCTCATTCTAAAAGGGAATTACAAGATGTTATAAAAGGATTTACAAACTATGGAGTTTGCCTCACATTTCCCTTGGTGAAAACTATAATCTTGCGCTCCTCGCCGTGCTCAAACTTATTCGGAATCATGGCCATGCGCTGGAAGTTGTCCACGAATCGGGTGATCTTCTCCGCCTGCATGTTGAGTTCAATGTCCACGTTGAGCGGAGCATTCGGTACATTGTACATGCTGGGATGGTGGGTCTCCCGGTGGCATTGGATGGCCTCCTGGACGGAGTAAACTGGCCAGCGGTAGTAGCGCCCCACGTAGCAGTCGTCTTTGGGCACCTGCTTCCAGGAGTCGTCCACATGCTTGTCCGCCCGCTTTACGTTGATTCTGTAAATGGTAAGGGGTTAATAAAGGATCCTGTATCCTGGATTCAGCCACCTACTTTTTGTTCCGCTGATTGTGCGGAATGAATCCCACCTTCTTCACCTCCACCTTGACTTTCTTCTTGCGGGCCTTCTCCCGAGTTCCTTTGCGGGCCGCCTCGCTCACGGCGGAGAGGTGCAGCAGGCGGAGGGACTCCATCGGGGGTTGGCGCAGGGCCAGTGCCCTCATTGAGGTCAGGATGGACTGCATTTCTTTTAAAAATAAGTCTATTTACCGGAGTCCAAATACTTGCTTTGCATAACCTTGCCGGCCTAGAGTTGCCAGATCGGTGGGTAAAGTTTAGTTGCAACACTGTTGGGAGATAATATATTCACGAACCTCGGTTTAAAACTTAGCTACGACTGTACCGCTATTTGACAAGATTTAAATATGCCAGGATGGGTTTTAACGGACTTTTTTAAGAAAGTGTTTTAAATTACAAACTTGTTAAACTCAGGAAGTATTTTTAAGGTATTTGCCCATAATCTTTAATTTTGAATTGGAAATCAGTGCCAATATTATTTATCTCTTCTGCACATTTCGGGATAAGAATTGTTACCACTGTTTAAATTAAAAAACCAAAACTTAATGAAACAGAAACTGTTTTAAATTACAGACTTATTAAATTCAAGAGGGCATACGAGTTTTTAAGTTATTCGTATACGAACGTATACATAATCTTTAATTTTGAATTCGAAATCCGTGCCAATATTTTTTTTGGTCTTCTGCACTTTTCGGGATAAGAATTGTTACTACTGTCTAAATTCCAAACCCAATCCCAAAGAAACAGTAACGTATTATTCAGAAAACCCTCATCGACCAGATTTTAAGAGAAATTTAAAAAACAGCAAAGAGACCAATTCCCAATCCTCTCTAAAAATAAATCTCAAATTTTTCGACATTTCCGATCCGTTCAAAAGCGCCGTGCCGTGCCGCTCAGAATAGCTTCGACCGACGAGCGGAACGGACGTATACGGAATTTCCGAGCCGCGGAAAATCGCGAGAAACCGGGAGAGAGAGAGTGACCGAAGAAAATTCCGCGGCGGGGCGGACGATCGTGTGTGCATAGGAAAAGTGCAAGTAATAATTTGTTATTGTTTTTCCTTTCAACGAAACACTGGCGAACACCCCAAAATAGCCCGACAACCTTGCGCATAAACCCATTAAACAAAAGAAGCGCAGCCAGGAAGAAAAGTCGAGTGGAAAAACGAAAAATGTGTGTGTATTCAATGTGTGGCAACAGTTTCGATATAACGTTCGGAAAGTGGCGAAAGTAATGGGGGCCGCCGACTTCAGATACACATGATCAGATCCGCTCGCAGCACCACCCATTCGCCTAGTTCACCCATCACCCATCCACCCAGTCCGCCGGTCCACGTCCACCCATCCATCCGTCCAGTATGTACATTTCCCCCCGAGTGCGTGCACTTTCGCATAAATTGGAAATATTAATTGCGTGTAACCTAAAAGTGGAATAAAGGAAGTGTTGCGCACTTGGCGATCGGGGATCCGAAAAGGGGGGCGGTGCCATAGAGTGTGTGCTGTTGTGCGATCGCCATGGGGAGGCAAACAAAAGAGTGTCAGCGTTTTAAAAATAGTTTGGTTTGCGGCGTGATTTTATTTGTTCTTCTGCGGGCCTCTCGACGATCGATGGCATCCAGTTTTTGAGCCAAAACAAAACCGTAAACCAAAATCCAAAAACCGAAATCAAAAACACAATAACGATAAACACAGTGCATTCCGGATCGTTTCTCCGTTGCGGTTAAGTGACCACACGCGTGCATATTTTTCGAAAATATTCAAAACTTTCGCACATGTGGGGAAACGTGCTGAAATGGGATTTTTGAAATTATTGTTTACATTTCGTGGATTTAATCGTTACACTTTAAGATTCGTTTATGTGTGTGTTTGCCGTTTGGCGGCGGACGTTCCACATTGGGTCTTCCTCTTCTATAAACAACCTCCCGATTTTGATAATTCTCGGATTTTCTTGTCTTGTGTGCGTTTTTAGTGGCGTATCGTTTAGAGTAAACAAACAAGGTCCGATTGAGCGATATCGAGATGGACTGGGACAAGCCACCGCCGCCTCCGCAGCCGCCACCGCCGAAGCCCCGACGCACTCGAATGTCCCGGCAGAATGTCCTGCACTACGAGTCCCTGCCCACCGCTCCGCCGGCGATGTGCGGCCGCACGGAGGAGAATATCTTCCAGTTTCCGGCCGTGGCCACGCGGGCACGCAATCTCTCCGCCTCCCCCAAGTTCGAGAGGCGGGAGGCCAAGGACCTGCCCATTTGCGAGCTGGGCAAGCACTCCTGCTCCAAGTGCCAGCCGTATCGGGCGGATCGGGGCACCATTGAGCCGCTGAAAACTCGTCTCAGTTCCGCCATCGAGGCCATGGACGAACTGACCCGCACCTACGTGCTGCTCGAGGGCTTTCTGGAGCACCGACTGACCACCATCGCCGACAACGAGGCAGGTGAACGGGCGGAGGAACTGGCAGCTTTAGATGATGATGTGCCCTCCACTAGTCAGGCCATCCGACAGCGTCCACCCACCAAGCCACCGCGATCCAGCAACACTGACCACCAGTTCGATCTAGAGCACTCTCTCACCTGGCTGGAGTCCCTAATGGGCACTGAGGTGGTGCCGCCCTTCAAACAGGGAAAGTTTAAGCGGTAAGAAATATCAATATAAATAAATAAAACAAAAGTAAAAAGGAAACTGTAGATCACTGTATTTAAATCACATAACATCTTTGGTATTTAATAACTAGACATCATATTTAAGGTGAAATCGTTTTTTTTAAATATGATTTGAAGCCACATTGGTTAACATTTTTTTACAAAACCCTCAATTAAGTGTTGCCTAACCAATCAAATGTGGCTTTAAATCGGATTCAAAAAAAACGATTTCACCTAAAATCCGATGTCAATTTATAACTCTTACTTCCGGTCTATATGAACTTTTGACGACTTTAAGTAATTTCGAAAAATATATTTCATAATTAAGAAACCTGACTGATTAGGCAAAGATTATGATAAAAAAAATTACGATTTAAAATGGTTTAGTTCTTATTTTTATCGCTTTTTAGGGCATCTGTTTTTGTTTCTGAGAGCCTGATAAAGCTGTCCTTCATTTATATTATTTATTTTTAAAAACAATATATTTTTTATTTATCTGATTTAAAACGAAAATATTTAGAATTCGCGAGCGCAGCAAATCAATGATGGACGAGGACCTCAACATGTTCATGAAGAGCGATCGTCCCGGCCTGAAGCTCAGCTCCTCGAGACCATATCTCTTGAGGCGGCAGAGCACCTACAGCGACAACAAGGCAAAGGTTTCCAAGTGGACCAAGGTGAAGGCGGCCTTCAAGTGGGAACGGGCCAATGTGCCACCTTCGGGACCAGGAGCTCCAGAAAATAATGTGTTGATGCCCCTCAACCACGAGGTGGAGAGGTTAGTAGTGGAATTTGCAACCTAAACGAGGGATACATTTTGTTAAATGTATGTATTTTTCAGATACCTCAAGGTGCCCATTAGTACGGCAGCAGGAAGCAGTTCCGCGGACAGCATCATAAGTAGCTCCTCCGGCCATATAATGAGTGATACGGGTGGAACTCCTGGTACCATAAGTTCGGCCAGCTCGATGGATGATCTTGAGGCGGCCAGTCGACAGAACTATCGTAAGTCCCTTTAAAGTAATTGATTTCTAATTTAATAAACTAATTGTATTTACTTTTCAGGTCGCGATTCTTCTAAGAGTGATACGCGTTGTGATTCCCGCAACTCCAACTTTGAGGTGGAGTTGCGCAAATCCTTTACAGACGAGCGCCTGGACAATATCAAATCCTCCGCACCTCCATTACCGGCAAAGTCCTCTTCCAGCAAATCGCTGCGAAGATCCAAGGCCTTCTCGGACTTCGAGGTTCTGCCAGAGGATCATGTGGCGGAGATTAAGGCCACCAGCAGCCGGCGGCAGAAGTTGCCACCGAGTCCACTGAATCTCAACCAGGTGAACCAGATATACAGTGATCTGCCGCAACTGCACTCGCCCCTGAAGAGTCCCAAGGATTCGCGCATGCGTCGTGTCCACTCGCCGGGAACCTCCTCCGTGCCTAGCAGTCCTTCCAGGCAATCGGATTTCTTCGGTGAATTTGGTGGGTGATTCAAGGGAAACACTACCATTAAATCAATCCCTCTAATCAGCGAACCTTTCTTAACTTTATGGCTTCTCTTCCAGAGAGCGAGGATCTGTCCAGTGGGGATTTCTCGGAGCCCACTACGCCAAACTGTAAGAATTTCCCACAGAACGAAGATGACGAGGTATTTCAACATTATCAACTTCTCGTACTCAAACTAGATTCGGAGTTTAAGCACAAGCAACGCGAGTTGGAGCGTTCCAGCGCCAGCAATCGCAGTAGGAATCCCCAAGATCGCCTTAAAACCAACAAACCACTAATCCGCGTGTAAACCACAATTTCAGGTATCAAACTGGGCAGTGGAGCCACAGCCGGCGGAGGATCCGGTAGTGGAAAGCGGAGTAGCGAGGAGCACTCGCCCACCCAACTGCTGCACAACGAACTCATGTCCACCGCCCAGTTGGAACAGAATCTCACGCCGCAGTTCAAGAAGAAGCTGCACAAGTGGCGGGTGAAGCAGCAGAATTGCTCGGGAGGATCGTATGCCTCTTTAGAACCCGCGGCCAGTCCCACGGCCAAGAGCCAAAGTGGCGAGGTCAAGCCCAAGATCGACTGGAACCTGTGGAGCATGGGTCAGGTGAAGCTGGAGGGTCAGGGTCTGTGTGCCTTGCCGGATCAAAAGGATTTGCCCGAGAAGTTCCAGAAGAAGTTAGGTGGGTATATCCGTAAAAACTCCATTTAATTCAGAAGTAAATCGATATGTTTTCCCTTTTAGAGCAATGGAACCGCTTAAAGTGCGCTCCTGGTGGCGGCACCACCTCCGACAATGACTCCCTTAAACGGGGGGCCAAGCACAGTCAGTCTGCCAGGCGGGGATCGGATGATGATCGATGGTACAAGCACAGGCCGCACGACAAAGAGAAGTGTGTAAAGAGCTAAAGACTCTTCCATTCAGAGAACTAATCCCTTGACTTGCAGATTGTCCCGCCTGAAAGCCATTGTGGTGCCGGATCACACCAAGAAGATCGAGGTCAAGACCTCCGATGGCGAGGTGATGAAGTTCGAGGGCATCTCGAGGAAGTTCACCCGGAAGCTGTACGAGTGGGAGAAGGCCAGGGGCATTGGGCCGGAGGCCTCGACCTTTGCCCTGCTGCATCCGGGCTACTGCCCCATCGATGTGAGGCGCATCAACAAGGAGTGCAATAAAGGTGGGTGGGAAATCAATCTACCTATCTATTTATTAGTAACCTTAACTTATAGTGACAGCGGATCACTCGCCCACGCTCAGTCGCTCCCTTTCGCTGGACAGCGTGTCGCCCAACTGCAATCTGGCCCAGGCCATCTCCCAGCAGGCCTCATCCCTGTCCCTGAACGACGTCAACGATCTCAAGGAGATCGAGGGCAGCACCGACGCCCTCGCCGACCACGAGTTCAAGAAGTACGACGAACCGGAGGCGGTGATGGTCGAGGTGGAGGAGCACATCCACGACACCGCCTCGCCACTGGTCACCGCCCACACGCTGGTGGAGCAGCAGACGCCCATCTACAAGTACGAGGAGGTGCAGTGCAACGACTATGTGTAAGTGTGGCATGAGAATCCCAATACTTAATCCTACGGATACTCATGGTTTCCAATCCCCTCCTCCAGCAACTCGCGTCGCGTCCAGAGTTTCGAGTCGCACACGAATCTGGCCCCCTTGCTGGGAGCACTGAAACGTGCCGATGAGCTGTTTGGCCAGCTGAAGAATGCCTCGCCCGATCTGCTGGAACACCCGGCCATGCGGGACTGCCAGGCCGCATTGCTGAGCATTCGTGGCATTTATCCATACTACTCCAATAACCTGATGAAGGCGGGCGTGCTCAACGCCATATCCGATGTCCAGAGTGAACTGGGACGACTGGCCGAGTTGGTGAGAAATATTCTGCTTACTATTTATAAGTATATTCATTAGAGTCCTGCATCAGTGTACTTGAAAGTCAATTTTTAAAATCAGTTAACTTGGATCACTTTTTTTCATTTGATTTTTTCATAAGGAAAAACAAGTGATTTAATATAAAATAATTTCGAATCACCTAAATAATTTGCTTAGTAATTTTATCACTTCGACTCACTTTTATTCTGTGCTTGTATCACTTGTTTTTTTTTACGAATGATCAAGTGATCCAAGTTAACTCACTTGAACTCACTCACTGTATTTTCAAAAAATTGACTTGTTTATCAATTCAAGTGTACTCATGCAGGACTCTAATATTTATTATAAGGAAAACCCTAATAATGTTTTCTAACCTTTCAGAGCCAGAAGTCACCCTTGGATGAGGCCTGTTGCCAGGAGACAATGCAAGAGCGAGCACTGGAGTATCTGGAGGAGCTGCAAGGACTGCATGAATCCCTGCAGTGTCTCAAGCTGAGCATACGTAAGCAGTACTTTATTTTTTTTTGTATTTATTTATTTTTTTTTTATTATTATTTTTTTATTTATTTTTTTATTTATTTTATTTTTTACAATAAAATACATTTCAGAGGGCGGAACCAATCGCTATCCCCGAGACATTGTGCCCGATATCAACATCACCAGCGAGGATGGCCAACAGTTGGACTCCAGTTCTGCCTATGCCACCTGCGACAATTCCAGCCGAGATCGCTTGGCCCAGGACGACAACAGTGCCAGTGCTGCCTCGCCAATGGAGCATGAAACGGAGACCAGCACCACGACGGGCACCTTGTGCCGCTCCAGCCTGCCCACGGTGATGGTGAATGCCAATCCGGGTGGCGTTACCAATGGTATTACCAATGCAAGTGCCTGTGCCAAGAAGAAACTGCTGCGGCTGCGCAAGATGGGTTCCCGGCAGAACAGCAAGACGGAGAGCGACAGCAGTGATGCGGATACCCACTCGGTGATGGAGACGCCGCGTCGATTGCGCCGCAAGAACTTCCGGCTGAAGCAGCGCTCCTTGGATGACGACTTCCGGTTGAGTTCGACGGCCAATGAACAGGAGATTCCTGTGGGCAGGGAAGATATTGTCTACGGTTCGCTGAAGGTCAAGCCGGGCGAACTCATTGAGCAGAGCCAGTGTGTGGCACCTGCTCCACTGGTCCTTATGGCCCCGGATCCACCAATATCTTCCTCGGCATCCAGCACTCCCCTTACTTCAACCACTCCTTCTTCGTCGGCAGTTACACCACCCACCAAACTGGGTGCCTTTATTCCCCCGCCTCTGACGGATTCCAATCGACCATTCAACACCAATGCCAATGTCTTTGTGAAGACCAAACGGAAAATCTTCACCACCATCCCAGAACCAAATGCCTCGGAGGGCATAGCTGTGATCGAAAAGGAATTGGACAGTCCCCCAGAGGAGTTAAGCAAGTCGGGGAAGTCAAAGTGTCCTCCCAGACCACTTAGTCTGTATAAATCCATTAGTTTGGAGCGGTTAAAGCAGCCGCCTCTTAAAGAGGACTTGCGCAAGTGCCAGAGCAGTGAGACCTTCCAGCGGGGATCCCTCTTTGTGCCACCTCCTCTCGCCAGCGATAGCATCGAGAGATTGGCGGAGTCCAGGAAAAACCAGGAGCTAAACAACCCGCCAGTGCCGCCGCGGAAAGCTCACCTCTACAAGAAGAACTCGCTGCACAAATCGCACAGTGCGAATGCCAGCAACAAGATTGAGCACAAGATAGCCAAGACCAGCTCTGGGCCCAGTTTCTCCAGGGTGCATCCTCCACCACCGGCGCCTGTTCCTCTGACCTTGCCCAATAGAGAGGACAACACCCTACCACGTATCCAGCGAAAGCATCCCAATACGCCCACCAAGGCCAAGCAGTTTGAGTTCCCGCCACCGCAAACTTTGACCTCCGAACGTCCAGCTACTCCGCTTTCCGAGAGGGCCATTCGCCTTCAGTTGGCCAAGGCACAGTTCCTGCAAAGTGCTCCGGTCACTCCTCGTCAGGAACCCCAAACACCTAGCAAGGCAACGGAAACTGTGGTGCTGCAAAAGAGCATCAGTGCGGGCAGCATGAGAGGAGGAGCAGCTGTCCCAGAAGCAACCAGACATTATCATGAGGTATCTACGGATCAGGAGAGTGTGGGCAACTCCAGCGCTTACGACAGTTTGCCCAGAGCTGTCAGCCGGAGTGCCAAGATCTCCAGCAAACTGGGATTCGCCACGCTCACCTCAAAGTTGCGAAGGGGCAACAAGAAGCCCAAGCATCCACCTCCAAGTCCGGGAAGCGCCCTATCCGCCCTCTGTCGGCAAACCCTAATGGCCGATGTCATACCCCAGGCTTTTGGAGCGGAGAAGCCACCACCTAGTCCCACGGGAAGGAATGTCTCCAAGTCCCAGAGCACGCCGCAGGCTGCAGGTCCTTCGACGATCAATCTCGAAGTAATCCCCAAGTCCCTGAGCGAGCAGTATGTCCGCCAGCTGAAGGAGAGCGACGTCTAGTCAGAGTCCCCAGTCTCAAGTCCAGAATCTAGTCATAGGAGTAAAGTCGATGTCCGAGGTCAATGAGTGCATTTTAGGGTAATCCCACACGATTGCTATTGAAAAATTAAAAAATATCGTAAATTATATTTTTTTTAAATTTAAAATAAACGAGCTTCTTAAAAAAAAACGAAAATGAAGGGCAACCGTAAGCAGCCAAAGTCAAGATACTCAACGAGCCATTCAGAAAATCCAAAGCAAATAAGTCCTCAACAGAAGAAACTGAATTGTGTTGATTAAAATAAAATAAGAATCAAAAGCAAATAGATTTTTTTTTGCTTCCCATAACATCGAAATTTTTAAAACGCATTTGCAGAGCTTTTGCTTTTATATCTAACCAAAGAAAAATGTAAATTAAAGCAGAAAAAAAGTGGAATACTTTTCCTTTTGTGCAATAAATTAATCGAATTATGCGATTACCAACTTTAAGATAAGAACTTGTGTACGATCACGTTTAAGATTGAAATATTTGCAATGGATTTTGATAGTAAGTATGAATTGTTTAAATTTCCTTTATTACATTTTTTACGACTGACTATTTTGAAATCTTTAAGATCTAAATTGTTTACCCATACCTTTTACGTATACTTGATCACTTTTTTTATAACCGCATTTTAATCACAACAATCGATGTTTAATATTATCTTGGGGTTTATTATTCCCCTTATCAACCGGTGGAAATTCCATTTGCTTATCTGTGATCCTCATAGTCGTCCAGCTCTGGGTAATTGAAATCATCGTCATCCTCGTCCACCACGTTTTCATGGGGAATTTCCGGAGGCTCAGCACCGGTGTTCCAGTAGCGATCGTCCTCCGGATGCGTGAACTCGTAATCGAGGGCCTCCGGATTCACGTAGGTGATGCAAGTCGTCAGGTTCTGGACTGTTTCCTGCATTTGGGGTATGCTGTTCACAAAGACCACACCGCATTTCGCCGATTGGAGAGCCTCTTCGGGCAATTGGTTGTTAATTTTGGCATAAACATCGATTCCCACGGCGATGATGTCGTGAACCCGGCGGATGGCACTCAGAGCGTTCACTGTACCCGAAAGGATTTTTCCCACGGTCGTCTGTTTGGCCACGATCTTCTTGTAGATCTTCACCAGACCGCTGACATTCTTCTTAACCTCCTTGACGGCGGCCACCGTTTCATTTTGGATGCTTAGCACCAAGGCCATGGTGCGGGAGTAGCAATCGACGCCATCGTTGATGGACTGCAGGGCTATCTGGAACTCGGGAACCTGCGAGTAGCTGCAGTAGGCCGCCTGGCTTCCGCGGCCCCAGTAGTTCCACATGTAACCCAATCCCGCGATGGCTGCGGTCACAATCTTCGGCTTGTTGAGGCTCAGCAGAATCGTCTCCAGGTCGATGGCTCGCTGCACCATGTCGTCGATCCCAAACTGGGCTTCGTCAATCACATCCTGGATGATATCCCTGAGGTCCTCGTATTCCGCCCTCTGATCTGGGCTGAAATCGGCACTGGGTTCTCCCATAATCTCCTCCACGGTGGGCAGTTTGGTGTCATAAACCACTCGGGGTTTCTCATCCAAGTAAATGGAGAAGTGGCTGCGGAAATTCTCGAAGGCCTGCAGGTAGCTAGCATCCAATTCAGGCTCCTCGACGGCATTCTGATCACTGCCATCGCCGTTTTGGAGCCTCAGACTGTACAAATAGTCGTATTGGGCCTGAAACTCCAGGTACAATGGACGCAGTGCCGCCACTTCATCGCTGGACAACTGCAAGTCCACCTGCTGTTTCTCCAGCAGATTTTCCAGTTCCCGGTGGGCACCACCAAAAACAAAGAGCAGCACACAGGCCAACAGGAGCAGCGCTTTTCTAACCATTTCGCCCCGCCAACTTATTCAGTGCAACTGAGGAGGGATTTTGACCAGCTAAATTATCGGAAGAAGTATGGCTAATAAAACACTATCGCTGATACCACACTTGGATTTCCTCAAGTGGCCACAGGTTGATTAGGATGCGATAATCGCGGCTTATCGCGTATATTACGCTATATTTAACACTCCACGGGGCAAGGTATCAGTAAACAAATTTAAATTCCCTGGGAGCATTTCATGAATGGTCTATCAAAGGGAGGGGGCTACAGAAAAAAGGTAAGCGCCTAATATTTTGCATTTAACTTTATTTCCTCCTCTCAGTTCACCGCACACAACTCAATCTGGGCAAAGACCTCGTCAAACTCCATCTTCAGTTGATGGTAGAAAAGGCAACTTGGTGTGTCCAGATCCTCCATGGACATCTCCAGCAGGATGTCATCGCAAAGCTCCAGGCAGCCGGTCATTCGCTGATTGATCCTTCCGATTCCGGCAACCGTGCAGAACAAGACTCCGGCGTGATTGAAACCGGACTGCTTGAGTTGCCAAGTGCGGCAGGTCTTCGACAACTCGGCGATCTCCAGGGAAGCCCTGCGTAGGAACTCGACTTCCTGGACGATTTCCTGCTGGAAATGGCCCATGATGTGATCCAGGGAATTGCGGCAGATGCTGTACTTATCCACCAGCTCCCGATTGAAGTGGGCCACCTGGAGTTCGTACTTCTTGGAGCACGCACGCCACTCGGCGCTGTACTGACTCCCGAAGAATATCTCCAGGCGAGCACTCACCTTTCGCTGATGCTCATCCACTGTGTCCTTGGCCTCCTGAAGTCGCTCGGTTCTCTTGTAGATCGCCTGTTGAGTGTTGTTCCAAATCCTGGCCGCATTCGTACTTTGGCTTGCTATAAGCTGCTTGGTAGACTCGTAGAGTGGTCCACTTTGACCCCAAATTCGTAGGTTCTCTCCACGCACCTGTAAAATATGTGACTTATTACAAACTACATTTTACATATTTATATCTAAGCTATTGGTTACACAAAAAAGCGACAGCAGTAACAGCCATGTCACCCGTTCTATTTCCATCTTGAATCTAAATTGATTGCCAAAAAATTGATATCTGGTACCTCGGACGAATCTGAGATTTCATTTTGGCAATAAGTTAGATAGCTACAAAGAGCAGTTTGTAGATAAGTTTTGAAAATTAATTAATAAACATTTATTTAATAATAAACATGAAGCTTACGAAGATACTTAAAATATATTTCTTCAAATCAAAGTTAGCGTATTAAAAATATTTTTTTAAATAGGTGAAATCAGCTTCGCTGATTTTATTAAATCGAAAACAGTAATTTTATAGTTAGTAAAATTAGAGGTGTACATATATAATAAGTGCAGGGCTATTCTAAAATTACGATTTTTCTGCTAGGATGAATTTGTATTATATAAATGGGCAATATGTGTTTTAATGTGTTGATGAGTAAGACCCTTATCACAAGATAGTAAATGTCTAATATAAGTACCAAGCTATTTATCGGTCTAATCACAACTACAAGACATTTTTAAGTCCTTGGTGTGTTTTATAGCTTCATAGCTTTTGATTACTTTGTCTGTAAACTGTGGACTTCTGCTAAACAAATATTTACCGAAATATTGAACACATAGTATAACACTTCGAAATTTACAACTTTAGGCTTGGTACTCAACCCAACAAAAAGTCGTCCAAAACAAAAAACTTCATATGAAAAACAACGTCAAAAAATTTTGTTTCATATGAAGTTTTTGTTTTGGACGACTTTTTGTTGGGTTGAGTACTAGCCCTTAAGCAGTACACAAATATTTTTAATTCGAAGGGATCAACAGAATTCAAATTAAATTTTCGTAGAGCATTCAAAAACCATGGTAGCCTGTTTCATTAGGCTAATGGTTATTTTGTGTTTGGTAGTGTGATTTTAAGACGCAAACTCTTATCGCGACACTCTGTGAATCTGTTGACTATATATATTAGTCACTTGGAGGGCCAGTCGCACTAGAGAAATACAACGGAAATATGATGAGTCAAAAGATTGGAGTAGGAGTTCTTGGACTGATTTTGCTTACTTTGGCAGTGAGTAGTGCCTTTGGAATGTAAATATTTTTCGAGTGCAGTACCTTCTCCTTACAGAACTGCCAGGAGATCCAAGTGGAGACAGATACCACTAACTACGGCCCCGTCTCCATGGTGGTCGACAACCTGGCTGAGATTGCGGTAGATGTGAGCGACGACACCACCATTCAATTGGAGGGTAAAATAAATCGCACTCGGCAGGATATCGCCGGGAATATCGAGGTCCTGACCGCCAATGCATTGGCCCAATTAAGTGACGCGATCTACGAGACCAGCGAGTTCATGGTGGACAATCCCGACTGCAATGCGGCCTGGAGCTTGGATGAACTCAACGAGAATGTGACCTCTCAACTGGGTGGTTGCACAGGCAGTTTGGGAGGTCTCTTGGCGAACTTCCGCCTGGAGGGCCAAATGGCATTGTCAAGGGTCAAGGATTTCGTCCAGCAGATTGCCCAGTTGCCGGTCAAGTGCCAGATGTTGGGCGCCTCCCCACTCAATCCTCTGGCTTCGGCGGGCGGCAGTGTTTGCTTCATCAACGCCATGGCGGAGATCAACCAGGGAATGGCCGAGTCCCTGCGCGATGCCTCCCTGCTCCTGGTGCAAACCCATCAGACCACCGAGGAGCAAGTGGAGCAGGCCCAGCGGTGCTGCGACACTGTGGTTCAGCAGGTGGGCGAGTATCTGCGCGAGGAGCAGGATCAATGCCAACAGTGAACCCTTCCTGCGAGCAACAGTCCTGCCGGAGAGGGGGAGTTCAGCCAATGGCAAATTTATGCACCCACAAGATGACAGGGACCGAGGACTCGCCACATCCTGTTCACTTATTGCTTATGCATGACATTTATTTGACAAGTTTTTGATTGATTTTACAGCTGCTGCAGCCGATCTGGTGCAGCTATCTGCATATTCGAAGGCACAGTGAAACCTCTCTAGGGCGAACTTCGCTTGAAGAATTATAGAAAATATCTTAATATTTTTTTTTGTTTTTAAATGGAATTTACAATTTATGTGTTCTAATTATTATATGTTATAATGTTAAATAACATGTTAAATACTTTTTTATTACAAATGAATGAAAGTTGCTCATGGTCTATAAATATTATTGGAATTTGTATATGTTCAAGTCCGAATGTTTTCCCAAAAAATTTGGTTTGCCTTATAGAGGCTCTCCTGTAATTGCAAATTTCGGGCAACTTTGTGGCTAATCGCAAGTTCACTTTTCAAAGTCGCATGCATACTAATTGGCCATTGTTCGGCCGAGTTGACCAATTGCCCAATGGACTTGCCCACGACACGTGGCAGCCACACGATATAATGCAAGTGAATAGTGGCATACGGATCCAAATGGACGACAGCTGGCCCTAGAAAGAGATAGGAACGGAGATCGAGATCGGCCAGTTATTTTCCTGCTCCTCTCGCTTCCGCAGTAAGCCAAATTATTTTGACCTGCCTTCGGCACACTGAGCACAATTGCGGGGCTAGAATCTGCCGGATATCCATGATCAGCGCTTCACAGATCTCTCTCATTCTTTACGGTGCAGCAACCGAAATGTCTACGACTCTTTATTTCGGCTCTTGCCGCAATTTCACTAAGAGTCTGAATTTTATCTTATTTTTACTGCTTGTAACAGTTGTTGCCCCGATGATGATCGCCTCGCTGTTGTAGCTGCACAAATTCCACCTACTCCAACATCTGTTGAGCTCTTTCAGACATCTGACGGATTTTGGTGACGGTAAGCGCGCGACTCTTGTCTATTGCAACGCGAGATCAGAGAGTTTCCACTTATTCAAGTTCTAAACATTTGTATACCCTTGCAGAGGGTACAATGATTTCAGTCAGAAGTTGGCATAGGAAGGATAGCAAAAATAATAAGAATAATCAAAGTACTACGACATTTAATAGGAATGATCTGTATGGGTATATAAGCCTCGGTTAATATGAACTTGTATTATACATGAGTGATTCTTTGTGAAACGTATCGAGATTTTCTTCATGGTCTCAAAACGATATCTAATTTTTATGACACTATCACACCATTTAAAAAGGATTTTTAAAAAGTTTAAAAAAAAATCCATTTGACAGAAGCGAAGATATGGCGTTGCTATTTTTTTGTTTAATTCATTTATAATTTTAAATTACGCTGGATAAAAAATAAATAAAAATACTCAAAAATTATTATTTCTGCCAAGCTTTCAGATGAAAATAACAACCATAATGGTTCCAATGCAAAATACGGTCCAAACTTAAAAAAAAATTTTCATTCGCGGTTTTCTGCAAATCGGCATTTTTAATCTTTATAAAAAAATAGTATAATGTTCTATACATAATTCTTGTTGGCTCCTAAAAGTTTCGTCATGGGACCTCCATTACTTTCTGCATAATTTAATAAAACATTAAAAAACAAAGCAGTCTTTCGTTGTTATACATTAAATTATATTAGACGAACAGTTTTCGTTCTTCTTGAATTCCGGGAGTACGACCGTTCCCATTTAGGTAAAACTAATAGGAAAAATGCAGTTTGGTATAACAAATAAATCCCTACCAATTTCAAGGTGGGACAATAACTTCTTGCTAATTATTTAGTTCTAAAGAAGAACACTCGAATATATAGCAACACATTACATCCAAGCTAAGACCATTCCAGGCTTCTGGTAAATAACGCACCTCGTTCGGTTCATGTCGCTCCTTGATTCCCCCTGTGGCGGCGCTCCACTGTTGTTTTAAGCCTCCTTACAATGATTTGTGTATTGGGAAAATTTAAATGTCTTCAGCGAATGACTATCTTTTTAAAAGAGTTTGCTATTAGGTGTTGGAGCAATATGATGGTGCTTTTGAGAACGTGGAATGGTCTTAGCTTGGATGTAAGGTGTTGCTAACGTGTTGTTCTTCCTTAGAACTACATAAGTAGCAAGAAGTTATTGTCCCACGTTGAAATTGGTAGGGATTTATTTGTTATACAAAACTGCATTTTTCCTTTTGGTTTTACCTAAATGGGAACGGTCGTTCTCCCGGAATTCATGAAGAACGAAACTGATCGTCTAATATAATTTAATGTATAACAACGAAAGACTGCTTTGTTTTTTAATGTTTTATTAAATTATGCAGAAAGTAATGGAGGTCCCATGACGAAACTTTTAGGAGCCAACAAGAATTATGTATAGAACATTATACTATTTTTTTATAAAGATTAAAAATGCCGATTTGCAGAAAACCGCGAATGAAAATTTTTTTTTTAAGTTTGGACCGTATTTTGCATTGGAACCATTATGGTTGTTATTTTCATCTGAAAGCTTGGCAGAAATAATAATTTTTGAGTATTTTTATTTATTTTTTATCCAGCGTAATTTAAAATTATAAATGAATTAAACAAAAAAATAGCAACGCCATATCTTCGCTTCTGTCAAATGGATTTTTTTTTAAACTTTTTTAAAAATCCTTTTTAAATGGTGTGATAGTGTCATAAAAATTAGATATCGTTTTGAGACCATGAAGAAAATCTCGATACGTTTCACAAAGAATCACTCACATAACTCTAATATATTTAATGAAATCCGGGAGGTAGTGGCAATCCCTTAACATTTTTAACATGTACATTGTACACAGAAAACAAATCGATATGAGTAGGGATATAAAACCGATATAATTCAAAAATATAAACTTACCCAAAAGTACACAAAATGTGTACTAAAAACACACAACCCACCCCACAGTCAAATACGAAATGCGATAACGAATCTTAACAATGGTCAGAAAGGTTTCACCCTCAGCGGGGTGAATACATGTATTTAATTTATTGGTATTCCTTTTTATTATACTTTAATTTAATTTAATATGTCGCAGGTTTTGTTATTAATAAACAACTTTCCGTTTCAAATTTTTTTTTAAAAACTCCTTTACCGATTTCAGCACATCTTTTTGCATTTTTCGGTTAGTTGAGAAAAACTCTAGGAACTCTTTATCTATGGTATATTTCTGTATAGCCTTTACCATATGCTCCTTCAGTTTTTGGCGCTCCCATTGCGACAAATCCTCCATTATGAACGCACTTAGCTTCTTGAATTTGTCTGTAATTGGAAGAATTATAAGAATATAAATAGCTCGATTGATGAAAGAAAAACTCACTTCTCGTAAAAAAGGTCTTCGATAGGTATAAATATACACAACGAAAAGGCATTTATACTTCTTGGAAATCTTGAAAGATGTGGGCGCAGGAATAAATGTATATACTTTATAGGGTCGGAAAAGCTTCCTTCTCCCTGTTACACACATACCAGTATTATACTGGTATTTTACACTAACGATAATATTTACATAGTAGGTACATTTTTCAAGTGCATTATCGCAATAGAAGCTCTCATTTTTTAAGGTTTCCCTTTATCAAACTTCAAGGCCATTCCAACACCGGATGTAAAATAAGTCGATGAGATCACGTACTTTTTTTATAAGTCATAGATAGCCAGTATATTTCCACTGCAAGGGAGGGATAAGACCAGGGCAAGGGCCTTACTATCTGATAACTAAAAGAAAAAGCTAGTGTGGTCATAAAGGTTAAATAGAGGCCTAGAAGAAAACCTTTTCTAAGATGAAACTTGATTGGAAACATATTCTTACGAACCAGTTTACGTTGGTGCAAAACAATAAATAGATTTAGCGATAGAAGTCAAGAAGACAAGTAACTTGAAGAATCACACTCTATAAAGGACTTATTACAAAATGTTACACATTTCTATTGACTGCCTTCAGAGGCAGAGAAAAAGGAAGTGGATGACAATTAAGATAGTGACTTGTTTTACGGTGGCCATACAGATGGCGAGTACCTCCCACTCACCGGATGCGTTCTAATTTATTGTTAAAATTTTCTTTAAATTTTCAAAAAGCCAATATAATACATAACACTTGATTTTTATCGAGTAACTCTTACCCTCAGGGGGTGAATTACATGTTTTCAATTTATTAGTTTTTGATATTGACGCACTCGACTACAGCGTTCCTTCAAATTATACTTCCAATTAATACATCGGAGGTTTTGTTTTAATAAACAACTTTCAGTTTCAAAATTTTTTTAAAAAACTCCTTTACCGATTTTAGCACATCTTTTTGCATTTTTTTGTTAGTTGAAAAAAACTGTAGGTATGGTTGTTTCACAGTCTTTATCATATGCTCCTTCAGTTTTTGACGATCCTCTTTTGACAAATCCTCCATTATAAACACACTTAGCGGCTTGAACTTGTCTAGGATTGGAAGAATTATAAGGCTTAATATAGTTCGATTGATGCAAGATAAACTCACTCCTCGTAAATGCGAATGCTGTAATGCCACCGATGATACCGCCCAACGCCAATCCCAAGGGTGCCAACCCCACGGGTGCCATAACCAAAGCACCAGTCACACTCAGGGCGGAGGCTCCACAAATGGCACCTGCTTTCGGAGACTCCTTGATAACCACCCGGGCCTTTTTAGTATCGGCCAGTTTACACACCTCTAATAGTAACTCGTCCATACCGTAGCTTGCGTTCATTGTTGACTGACTAAATGTACTAGTTGAATTTTCAACCAAGCTGGCGTTTTTAATGCCATTCGGCGATGGTTACTATCAAGTTGACTAGCGAGTGAGTTTTAGATAACCATTTAGCCCTTTCAATGAAAGGCTTTCATTCTTATTTTTCACAGACCCACGTTTGGGCGTTAACCAAATCGGCGTAGCACCGTTAACCCTGATATATAAAAAAGAAAAAAAAACATACAGATATCTGTTTATTTTACAAATTCGACACAGCTAAGAAAGTTTTGATGTTACGCTCGGATCCACGGGCTGGACTTGGGGAATAAAGTGAAAGAATATGTGGCACAGATTACTAGCGATTTCCAGTGCATAAAGTAAGTCGTAGAAAAGATACAATAAAAGAAAGAGATGAGATAATTCGCGGATGCAAGAAACAAGTTGCCCTTAAAGCTCCAACCCAATTAAATCCTCAATCCGTTTCTGTATGAAATTCTTATAGCAAATTATATTGAAATGAACTTTTACCGTGTCTAATTAACTGGAATTGCAAACTCCGCTGACCGTAACAAGTAACCAACAGCTGACAATTAAAAACAAACGAAAATTTTGAATGACATAGTTAATAACTAATAGCAGTTCGACCGCAAACATTTTTATTTTTTGCACATATAGATCGAAAGCTTTCTCTAAATTGTTGATAACAATCGATTATAGTATAAGTAAATTTGTAGTAAAAGCTCGTAATCGCTATTGTCAATAGATAGAGGAAAAGCTAAGTTCAGTGTTAGTTGGATGGAAAAGATAGAAAAGATAGAAAAGGTTACATCGAGCTAAAAAACAATGAGTAAGATAAAACTGGACTTGGAACTTATTCTCCAGACCCTGCTTAAAAAAGTGCAGGAGATGAAAAAGAAGGCTTCATGTTTTAACGTTAGAAGACAAACAGGCAAGTTCCTCGTACACTCACACTGTATAAAAGACTAAAATGTTAAACTTTTTCATTGACTTATTTTAGAGGGACAGGAAATGGATGACAATGCAGAGAGTGACAAGAAAAAGGACGAGAAGCTTCAAGTGGTTAAGAGTCCTTCAGTTTTTAACGATAGAGGTCAAGAAGGCAAGTTCCTCGTACACTGACACTGTATAAAAGACTAATTGCGAAATGTTAAATTTTTCCATTAACTGCTTTCAGAGGAAGAAGAAATGGATGATAACAAATTAAGTGACATGGCTAACGGTGACCGTACAGTAGGCTATCTATCAGGAATCATCTACTGGGTGTATGAGAAAATCATGGAATTGACTACGTATTTATTAGAACAACTGTTTCTCTTTGTGAAGAGCGTTATTCTACGTATAGTTGGCCCCGTAGTGGACGCTGTGGAGGCTTTCCTAACCGATTCTAGAGTGCAATATGCCGCACTCGATGCACTGGTCGAATTTTTAACCAAAAGATTGGGATTTCAATTAGCTATTAATTGAATAAAACCAGTGGTTCAATAAATAAAAGAGATTTTCTATCCAAACTAAAAGATTAAATGGTTTTGATACTGGGTATCAACTATCTTATACAGAGAAAATTATACGACGTTTTTATGAAGCGTTTAACTTTTTAAAACGTGTTTTGCACCTAAAACTTTTGCTAATTGTGTCAGTGTAAGCTTTCAATATATATATGCGAAGCTTTACTATGATAGATCGATAGGTCATAATTATAGATAATACTTGATTTCTATCGAGTAACTCTCCTCCTCAGCGTACGATTTACCTTCAATTGGTTTCATTCATTTCAGTTGCTCGAAAGTTCTTAGCCTTCAAAGTATACGTTTCTAAGAAATTGTTTGGAAATATGTCCGCAAGCACCCAAGAACTACTCAGTGCTCTGTCCATAGTCGCCGATAGCGAAAATATTCAGGTGACTTTTGTGGAGTCCGCCAAAGGAGCTGCCGTTTGTGCTGCAGGTGCCCTGATCGGGGGACTTCTAATGGGTCCCCGAGGACTTGCTGTGGGCGGGGCTTTAGGTGGACTTGCAGCCTACGGACTTACAGAAGGCAAGTTTTTCTCGCACAACGGGGAAGCTTATCTTATCAGTCTTTTTTTTCCAGGAAAGTTTAAGTCTCTGAGTGAGGTCATTTTGTATGATTTGTCGGAAAGTCAGCGCCAAGAACTGAAAGAGCATGTGACCAAGGCTATATCCAACATTAGAAGTGTTGGTGCTCTAGAGGTCGCAGGACTAATATTAAATAACCAACAAGTGCGAAAGGTTGCTCTTAGTGCAGCCAAGTCTTTTTTCACTGATCGTATGGGAATGACCATTATTGATTAATCACCAATAATATCAATCAATACCCATGTTGCTAGAAGGTTCTGAGCGCCTAAAAAAATAAAAGCTGGTAACGATTACCGCACGTTTTAATTAAAAATGTACCAAATTAAGTGGAATTTGATTTTTAATATTATTTGCAAACAAATAAATTTATAATCGACCTACACAACTTAGAGAGATTCCTTAATATTTGGGGGTTGGCGGTCAGATATTAAAGGGTAATTTGAATTTAATGGGCTTCACCTTGAGACATATTGGCACAAGCTATTCTGTCGGAGGATCTTCATATATCAAAGGGACGGCGTCTTCAAAATTCGTCTTTCGTGCCTAGGTGGCGTTTAAGAATCGCTGCCGGATTGTCTTTAATTTTGATTGATGCGGCTTTAATTGCGTGGGCTCCCAAGTGCTACTGCCGAACTTTTGGGTAACTGTAACTAGACCTTCTGTCGGCCGAAAACCAAAAGCGGTTCGCTCCTAGCCTCCGGGATATCTAGCAGTTGACTACTATACCATATCATATACTTTAGGATCGAGGTTTCCGCCTGCGACCAACTGGCGCGTCTTGGGCGCACAATAAGGAATAATCGTTATTGTTGCTTGCTGTCTGCAGGACGAGCCGCGTGGCGTGCGAGTGAAAGCCAGCGAAAAGGACCCATTGCGGGGCATTGGCCAAAGCGAGATAGAGCCAAGGCGCAACATATGCCATCTTCGACCGATCCTCCTCCCCAAGGACCTCTCGCCCCGTCTCCTTCTATCTGCGCCTCTGGAACAGAACAAACGAACGGCGCACGCCGTCATCTGGTGCCACTTTTGACTTCGGAAATTGGGTTGCCCACGCTCCTTCGCTCCATCACTTAGAAAAAATGTACCACGCAGTTTAGAAAAGGGTCTTGGAGTTAGAAGTAAATACGGAGCATTTAAGAATATTCTAGTAAATTTACCATCATAAATTTTCGTAAATATATTAATTTTGAAAATGTATTATACAGATAATGTATTCAATAAAATCCCATCCAAACTATACCAAGGTGGAGTAAAAATTCTTAGTTCTATTTAGTATAATAGAAATTGAGAATAAATCACTTCAAAAAGATTTCCAATGCGATTGATTTATTAGGCTAATGAAAGAAGTTTACAAAATCTATTAAATTATTTATTCTTCATTTCAGAAAGAATTAAATGAATTGCAGTACTTTTAACATCTAAAACCCGGGAATACTTGGAGTTTATTTTTTATCTCAGGCTTTTGTTTTTTCGCTTTTTCAATTACAATCCTATTTTTTTGAGTGCCTGGACCGTTTTACCTCTCGGTTGAAATTATAATTTTTTTAGCTGTTTCGTTTACGGTTGGGTTTTTCTTCTCTCTGACCTGGCAGACAATTTCAAGGAAGCAGGAGCACTCGACCAACAGTTACTGTTGACTTCCGATCGGAGCACGAGTGCAGGAAGATCGAGGAAGACAACCAAACCCGAACGGCAACAGCAGGATAAGCGGCTTTCAGGACTCGACCAGGGAGCCCCAAAAAAAAAAGAAAAAACCGAACTGGAAAGGGTTGTTCCTGGGGAATCGGGAAGAGAGTAATGGGCAATGCGTATTGGGCATTGGTAAAATGGTATTGGGGAAGGTGTGAGGCCGACAAGGATGCACAGACTTTCGAGGCTCGTCTTACAAATCCAAATTGAGCCCCGAAATCGCGCGCATGCCTGCCAAATGAACACGTGTGCCACAGGATCAGGCCAAAAACATCGAAGCGTCAGCTGGCCAACTCCAAAAGATGCCCGCCACAATAATTGGTTCGTCTACGAAAATGATAGAACAAAATCTAACCGTCTTAAGGGTTGAGAAAACACGAAATCGTTGAATCGAAAAAACAGAATATGGTTATTGTATTATAATTAATTTGTATTAAAGAATCAGTAAGCAAGAATTTTTAATCTCAGCGCGAATTAAAAAAATGTGATTACTATAAAGAAACTCTATATAAAAACATTGTAACAAAATAATAAATGTTCGCTTTTTTTTGCTAGTCAGTTTATTGTCTTAAAGAATCCTTTATATAATATCGCTTGCTGGTAATTTCTGACTGAAATTACAATACCTTTGGAAGGCTAAAATATACTAAAATAAAAAAGTTAACTGTCCTTAAAAATCCCAAAAAATATAATATCGATTTTATGGAGACCATTACTAATACTCTCACTAATATTTTTTGAATGGTTAAAAAATAAATAACAAATTGTCCTAATGAATCTTTTTTTATAAATCGCCTCTATGAGCAAATTATCCGCCAGCCAGGCGTATAAAATCTCCAAATCGTTTACCAAACGACCATAAACAAAACCAAATCAAAGGCAACGAAAACGAAAACAAAAAGGATAATTTACATTAAACCCCAATAAGCGAGGGGTCGGCATACAGAAATAAATAATGAACTTGGCCGAGGAGACAAATGTATAATTTTACAGATCGCGCAATTCAATTAGACAAATCGCCGAAAAGCCACTGGCACACAAAAAAATTAAGCAATAAAATTAGTTGGGTTCACGCAAATTGAATGCATCAAAAGGAGTCGCAAGGACATGCCGCAGCTCGCCAGGAGCCCCGGGAGAAATAGAGCAATAGCAATGAATCAGGACGACGAAGGGCCATAAAATGCCCATTGGCATTCCGAGTAGTTTTCGTTTTCATGTTCGCTTTCGTGTCATAATGTGTTGTAAGTAGGGGCCTTTGTTTCACAAAGGACTCGCCATTGTTCCATTGTCCGCTCAAGGACCTGTCCTGGGAACACCCGCGCGGTTCTCAGCATCCAAAGAGTTTTCCATTCCCTTCTGCTGCTGTGTCAGTTGCGACCACAATTTGACTCTCTGACCACCAACATAAAATGTTGACAGGCGGAACACGCCTCTAAAATATTATGCGAAGCAAGTCCTGTGGGGTCCACAGAGAATCCTTCCCGGTTTTGATTCTCTCATTCTTTTTTTTCACTGGGCTGGCCTGTAACTCTGGGCAATTCAATTGATTGCCTTTTGACAGTTATGAGCTGATCGCATTGCTATCTTGATCGCCAGTTTTGTCGGCGCTTAGCTGCCAGGAATTTATTGTTATTGACATTTTAGTTGGGTGGAATCACACGGATTATATCTGCTAATTGCACTCGTAGGGATCCGAGTCCTTAGATCTTTGGCGACCTGCAGCGGCGGCCCTTGATCAGCCGAATTTTACAGGCAATCACTCAAAGTTATGGTTATTCCAAGAAGATATTTGCTTGGGTAGTTCTTGGGTAATTAATTGAAATTTTACAAAATAAGCGGTGGTATTAAATATACCGATGGTAAATTATAGAAAAAGAATAGTTACCATTAGGGAAACTATCTGTCTGTTAATTTCTTATAGTTCTCCAAAATTATGCTGAAAGTAAAATCCTCATTTTTTCCTAAGCTCCGCTTATTCCCGATATCGGGTTCAAGAAGCCCCACTTTCACGACCGTTTAAACACAAATCGGCTGGAAAATCACGGCTTGCCCAGCACAAAGCCATCGCACCCCTTGCCGCAGGTGATAAAATTTCGCACATTAATACTTAATTACTTGAATAATTGGGGCCAAGGGATTAAGTTCACACTCACTCCAGATCGCGACAGTCCCCCAAAAAAATACAAAATCGCAGAGGCAATGCAGGTGGCAGTTCACCCCATCCACTGAGCCAAAGCCACTGGCTTTTTGAATAAAAAAGGGCCCAAAAGAGTTGGCCCAAAGACGAAGTGATGCCAACGCCACCGACGTCGTTGACATTAAATTGAAGGGTCCTGACGAAAATGTTGTTCTTGTTGCTGTCTGCTAAACCGGGCTTAAGCACAAAGTATGGACGCATTTTTCACACGAAATCCTGATTAATAAATATACAAGTTCCACAATATTACTGATAATTTGAAAAGTCGTCAACCCGACAGGCTCAGGCTCCAGGGCCCAGGGAGAAGAGAGCTGAAGAGAGTCTCCGCAGATTTCATAAGGAGTCTGGGCGAGACTTCGGTGCCCAATTACAAGCAAATGAGCTGGAAAACTGTATCAAATGACCCAATGTCAATACAAAATTACAGGCCCCGGACCACGAATATTTTGTTCGGCCAGAAGACGCAGACCAGACCAAATCTTCAGACTCTGCTCTTAACGTGACAAAGCGATGGCTTGCGTGTGGCAATTTCAGTTAAAAAATGCTGACGAAAGGATTTTGTTGTAGCCAAAATGTGGAATACTCTACTCTACTATAAAGGAAAAATGATACAGAATTTAAAAAAATGCCTTATTTTAAAGTCGATACGATCTATATTATAAGGCATTTTGTAAAGAAGTGTCGATTTTATTGTTTTTTTGAGAATCCATTTCCTATAACTTAACAATTTTGTACATTTTTAACACATTTCAATTTGTAGAGTACAAAAAGTCTTAATTATTTTTAAAATCCCTTGATGCTTTTTTGTTTGCTCTGCGCCTCGTCTTGGTAGCATCTTAAGGTTTTTGCCTTGTGTTAATTTGATGCCTCGCCAAAAAATTGTCAAAAAATCGAGAAAGACTTTGATTTCTGATATGCACTTTCACTGTCGATCTTCGATCACCGTTGCTGCTGGCTGCAGCGTGAGATACTGAGAACTTTGGCTTTTCGGGATGCCATCCGAATCATGTATGTATGTGGGATGCCCACCAACTTGGTGGGTCTGGCTCTTGGGTCCCGACCCTCTGAAAACCGAAAGTCAGTCAAGTGTGCCGTGCCGATCGTCTGTGTGGCTAATTGAGTTACCCAGAGAGATTTTTGGGCCGTTGGCCGTGCGAATTATTTGTCAAATGGATAACGGTTAAGTTTGTTACTGCTCCCGATGAGGAGAAGGACAATTATGATCAGGACGATAATCAGGATCGGTAATCGGAGCCCTGGGTTCGCCGTTGATTGATGGTAGGATGATGCGTTGCGAATCCGTTTGACTAATTGCCGCTGGAATCTTGTGGGCCAAAACTTCCCCAAACAAACGGTGACTTTTAATAGAGTCCTTCCGCTCTCTTTTTTTTTTGGCCAGATAATCTTTCTCCTTTCCCCGCGGACCACACACAACGTGAATTCCGATAATGGGCTGGGAAAGGATGAAGAAGAAAGGGGGCGTGGCTGGCGTGATTTGGTGTCGCTAATTACAGACTTTGGCATTTTACGCTGTCCGTTTTATGACTTAATAATTGCATTCATTTGGCCTGGACTTTGGGTTTGGGCCGAAAACCGATCGGATGCCGATGCCCACACACCCTGACTCCATACGAAAACTCGCTGCACACGCGACTTGGGAGAAAGGTCTGGCATTAATCACCGAATCCTTGGGTTTCCTAGGGTTTCGGACCCGAGTTCCTGCAATTTCGCCTGCAAAGGTTGCGCAACAATTAAAGGATCAGCGCAAAATGTTCACACAATAATGCCAAAACAAATCGGCGGAAACGGAAACTGCACTTGAGAATAGAATAAAAAAAGATACAAAGTAATGCTTGTGGTTAGACCTTTAGAAAATGAGGGAAATTGTGCCCAAAAAGGCATGAGAAAATCTTTTGAATGAAAAAAAAACATTAAAAAAGGAATAGTATAATAATTATTTTAAAACATTTGAAAACCGCAATTATAAAATGTACTGTGGGTAATTGAATCTTGCAAGATACAAAGAGGTTTACTATTACTACCTGTTGCCTCAAGTATAGAACATATTTGTTAGTTACAAGTTATTTTAAATCCATCAAGTCCTTGAACTTCAATTGAGACCGATGCGATCTGCACGAGTCCATTTCCTTAAAGACCAATTCAGCTGGCAATCAACGAACTCAAGCCCCAAAAATCGAAAAACCGAATCGATCTTAACCATATCCCATTCAGAACCTGCCCCATGGCGACACTAACAAGAAGTGACAAATTGATGGTGTTAAAGCTCATTAAGTTACTTAACGCAGATGTAGATGCAGATGCAGATGCAGCTACACATACTTAAGCTTCGGATACAAAAAATAAGCAATCTCAAAAACCTCAAAATAAAGCTCGCCAATTATCGACATGACAAATTTCGAGGCAGTCGTTCTCCCCTCTGTCGAAAAGCAAGAAAAACCCACAAAATATGCAGCCCCAGAACGGACATCGAATGCATAATAATACGTGTTAATAATGCTCAGGCAAGCTGTCTATAAATTGACAAAGACATGCAAGTTGCTGCTGTTGCTCCTCCTGTTTTGCGATGTTGCTGCTGTGTCGGCGGCATTGCCAAAAGCCAAAAGGCCGAAAGCCGAAAGCTGAAAGCTGAAAGCCAAAACTCGACTGGGGTCCAGTTGCCCCATTCATGAATTCTAACTAATTGTATTGGCAGGCAGTTGCACTTTTGGAAGCTGAATCTGAAGTTGAATTCGAATCTGAATCTGTGCAGCTGCATGCAGGTGGTAGCTTTAGTAGCTCCTTGGGAATAACAAGGGATATCCACAGGAAGAGACCCTTTTGTTGTTCAGGGGACCCGATCCCGATCCCTAACCCAACCGATACAAACCGAACCGAACAATTTGTGTAATTGACAAATTGACGGCAGCGCTTTGTGCGGAAGCGTTCAAAGCCGTAAATTGTCGCTAACAAGAGCGACACTCCAGGGATATCGGCAGGATATCGCTTTTGTGCCCCGCGAATTCGCCAATATACAAGTATAATTGCCTGTATCACATAAAAAAAAGGTATAAAAAAGACACCCGCACCTACCGCGACCACTAAATTAAGTCATTAACAATTTAACGAAGCCCTGTCGATGCCGCCTAACTAATTATGTGAATTTCCTTTTGATTATGAGCCCCGAAATCCGAAATCCGTGCAGCTTTTGCGGCGGCGACGCCTGCCGAAATGATTTTATAAAACAAACAGAAACAGCCCACGAAATCCGGTCGCTGCCACGCCCCCTTCCTCGCCACCCGCCTCCGATCGAGTCCCGATCCAAGCGCTCCAATTCCCATGCGGGAGTCGATCGTCAGCAGTCAACAGGCGCTGTCGCTATCAACAAATTGGCTTCGAATCTTCCGAATGATTGACTGACTGACTGAGCCGGGGATCTGCTCCGTTTTCTGCTGAATGAAATGCTGCACCGCCAAAAATCTGCAAAGAATTTGGTATTTATAAGAATCCAAAAATATATGTCGACCTTTAAGAGAGAGAATTTCATCAGATTTTTGGGAATTGAATAATTAATAACTAGAACTATAAATAAAATACTGCTTAAATCTTCATATTCTGTGGTGCCAGAGAAATGTTCATCGGTTTTAAGGGCAGTTGGTTTGAAAACCATTCAATAAATCTTGGTTTGTTTCGAGTAAATTTTTCCTAGTTTCTAGAAAAGTTTCTTGGTTGGATTTAAATATCTGTTTATTTGATATTGGGAAAGATTTTGTGAAACAGAGATTTGAATTTTTGTTGGGAATTCTGTGACTCCCCGATAACATGATTAATATTGTAGCCTTTTGGAGTTTGGAAGGATCAGAAATATTTAGGAAAATATAAAAATTGTGGTACAGAAATATTTTATATACATTTTTGTTTGTTTATTCCAGACACCTGCTTTTCTCTGAGTGCAAGTTTCGGCTTAAGGTCTTAAGCTGCTGGGGTTATCCGCCAACAACGATCGAGGATCGAACTTCGCCTTAAACGATTTGTGAGTGGCGCTTGATTTTCGGGACTCGACTTGGACTGGAGTCCAAGTTGAAAAGGTTTTCTGGGGACGGACATTGCATGCGACCTGCGACTGCTGAAAGCAGATCAGCCCAACACTTAACTTAATTTGGCAGCTACACTCCGGCGCGCCGTGCCGTGTAATTATTGGCATTGGCACAATACTGCTTTTCGGGGTTCGCCGTTTCGTATTTGTTTTGGCCAGCTCGAGGAGCAGGCCCTAATTTTGTCGAACTGTCTACAAATTGATCGCGAAGCGCCAAATCGATCACCTTCCCCCATATAATAAAGTCCAATTCACTGGGCGCGAGACGCTAAGCCCTCGAAAACTGTGTGAGAATTGATGCCCTGCCGATAAGTGTGGATGTCGAGGGGAAAAGGAAGCAGAGCCGTTCAGAGATAAAAAGATTTGGACGGCTTATTTAACTGGATACCTCAATGGAGCTTTCTCTTAGCTATATGAATTTTTATATATTATATTTAAAAACTAGAAATAAAAAATAGCAAATTTATGTTTATTTAAAATACATTATAAAATTAATTACATAAAAACGAATTGGCATTAAAGTTGAAAATTAAATCAAATACTTATTTCCAAGTTTGGAAAAAATGTAGATATAAATTTAGCCAAGAACTAAAAACATCAAATACTTCAATCGATCGAAATAATAAACCTTTTTTAAAGATTTCATCCAAATAATGGAGTCCGAATTTCTAGCAACTTCCTCTTGCTTAAAATAAAAATTCAGTAAGAGATTCCAAATAAATAAATAGCCAAAGAATATTTAAAATTATGAATAGTGCTTTTATTTTGTCTTCCTTAGTCTTAATCATTGTCTTCCATTTAGGCTAATTAACTAAACAATAAACAGCATAATACTTAAGCGGTAATTCACTACTGGGCTCCTGGCTACATGAATATATATACAGAGTAGGTACGACATTTGGCAAGCTCCAACAATAACTGAGAATGGGACTCTAGATGTGAGGATCGAGAGGATCTAGCGCAGCAAATCCCCGAGAGCGGAGATGTAGGTCTGGGCCATTTGGAGGGTCTCGTGCTTGGACAGCTGGCGGTCGTTTCCCAGGCAGGGAAGATACTGGCGGAGTCGATCGAAGGCCTGGTTGAGGTTCTGCATCCGGCGACGTTCGCGGGCATTGGCCGCCAGGCGGCGCTTTCGCTTCACCACGGGCGTGATCTGCTTGCCACGCCTCTTCTTTCCCGAACCTCCGGCGGCGGCATCCTGATTCTCACCATCGGCCAAATCGAAGGATCCATCGTTGCCCTCGAAGTCCTCGCCGCCACTGAAGAGCATCAGGTCGTCGTCATCTTCCACACTGTCATCGAACAGAGCGGAGTTGTCGAAGTCAAAGTTCTGGAACTCATCCGTGTAGAGATTGTTGACGGTAGCCTGAGATTCCTGCGATGAGATCGGTGAGGAGGAAGTGGCTGTGGGCTGACTCTTCTTCGTGTAGCTGCGCTTGGGCTTTGGAGCGGCCGGAGCTGGCACCGTTTTGCAAGTGCCCACATTGGAGGAGCCCATCACCGGGATCTCGACGGCCGGAGGAGAGGCCACCGGAATGGATGGGACAGCTGGAACTATCGCCTGCTCCATTACCATTCCGTACTGCTGGTTGTGGACCATACTCCCACCATTGTTGTTGTACATGGCATTCAGATCCACATACTCGGGACTCTCGGATCGGTGGCTGGCCGGCGAGGAGGAGATCCAGCCATCGGAACTGGCCTGCTCGAAGCTGATGAACCCATTGGCCGACAGATAGTTGCTGCTGCTGGCCAAAGTATTGCCATTGAACTGGTAGTGGGTCACGCCGGGATTGTAGGCGGCCATGGGATTGAAGTACGTCTCGGCGGTGGCGGCCGTCTTGAAGCCCTGCAAGTCCTCGGAGGTCTTGTAGTAGTAGCGATAGATCTCACTGGACGACATGGTGCTGCTCTGATGTATTCTGTATTGCTTAGTACGATGTGAACGCTGCGATTGCTGGCGGGTTTCTGACTGGTCTCTCGTCCTTTCGGCCCTATTTATACCAGCAAACCCACCACAAGCGAGAGAAGGACCCGAAGAGCAGGTAGGGGACAGGTAAACGAGTTGCCTGCTGAGGGCAGCACGTGCCGCCGAAGTAACCCAGCCAATGGCAGTTGGTGGTGAGTTGCCTCAGCTCTCTTGCTCTTATTTTACCTTGCTTTTGCAGAGAGCTTAAAATGGCGCTAGAAAACGGACTATCGCGGCATCTAAAGCCGCTAACAAGATGATTATAGGGTGGTCGGCAGCAGCAGCATCAGCAGAACCGGAACAGGATTATGGGCGGAAATGCAAACAGAAAACTTGAACAAACAATCGAATGTTAGGGCCTAAAACGGGATTAAAGTCGACCGCAAAGTGAGGCGAAATTTGCAAAAATCCCTCGGCGATTTGTCAGCACCAAATGGCAGAGTTTCATGAGCCTTATGAGTTTATCTAATCTGAATCGGTTGGAAGTAGGCACTACTACCTGACCTCGGACCAGGGAAACCCTTACAAATTCACCGCCGTCGGGTCATTCGACATGCCGACCCAAAACTCGTAGGCGGAATATCGCAATGAAAAATCTTGTTTATTACAACTTGGCAAAATTCTCCAATTGATACGCTTGTTACCGGAGGACCTTGAAGAGGGTTTGTAGCGCCGGTTGTCCAAGGACACGCTTGGCTTCATCGACTGACCTTCACCTTGGCTAATAAGCGTGGCAGACACTAACTAAGAGTTGGGTTAACATTTTAGCGCCTCGCAATTAAAACGGTGGTGGTTGTGATCATGAGCTGAGGGAATTTAGTTGTAGATCCCAGGATGACACAGCGAAACGAGGCGCCCACGGTGGTCCTTAGATCCCCTGAAGAACGCCCCTTGATCCCTAATGATTCGCTGGAAATCATAATGCAATGAATTCACCTACACCGATTCGAAGGAGTATCCTTCAGGAGAACCTTTGAAGTTCCGCGGCCACCCAGTCGCATAACTAGTAGCACGCCCCAAAAAGGATCTGTTCTTTTTCTCTGTTTTTTTGCCGGGCAATAAAAACGCTGTCAATTAGATAAAAATGTCACACAACAAACCGCACCAGGATCGGCACCACGAATTTATTGGACGCACACAGACAGGTAAGTTTGACCTTTCGTCCACCCCTGAGACAATGCTCGAATGTCCTGCAAGTCCCTCGATGTCCTGTGCAATTTACGAGCCAGTTGCCGCAACCGACAGTTGTTACACCTGCAATCGTATTGTATCGCATATAGCATATCCATCGGATTGCATCGCCGCTGTAAAGTTTACGCTTATCGGAATTAGCCGATGTCAAGGCATCCGCCGCATATCGATTTGGAAATTTACATTTTCATTGCCGCATTGCTGCGATGCACGTGCCGTCAGCTGAGGCAAAAGGGCAAAAAGGGTTGGGTTCTCTTCCATTTTACTTCCCTGTTGCATCGGGCGCCTTGCGTGCCTGTCAGTTATCGAGTAGCTGATCGATGTGAAGGAGTGCAGACCCACATTCGTACCTCCTGATGCCTTCGATACCTCCAGCTCCATCATTGGGGCATCATTACGCTGGTAACGGACCATTTCTTTCATGTCAAAATGCATAAGTGCAACTTGTGCATCGATGGGAATGCAACTGATGTGGAGCAGCTTCCAGAAAGCGCATGACAAAGGCAATTGAATGGTTAAAAATCGATGCAAGCGGAACAGGAAACACTCTTCCCTAATGATACAACCAGAAATCATTAATCCTATATGCAAATTCGTAACTAATATTGTACATTTAAATTAATTAATGAGACCTAGTAAAACTAGTTAAGTACTTTTATATAAAATGAAAAAAATAAGATCATAAAAGTATTACAATATTTAAAAAACTTGGTACTTTGGTATATATGTATGATCGTATTGCGAAAATATTTACTTAAGGAAAGTTATTATTTTGATTTAACCCGGACCCATCTATAGATTCTTTTGTATCATAATTGAAAATACTACTAATGCTCTTACTATATTTCTATACCCTTTCCCAAGGACTCTCTGTGAAATGCGGAACGTGTAGGCGCAGGAGATGCCAATAAGAGGAAAGTAGGCGCACGTCAACGACTCCCATTAGCAAGTCGCTCTGGGCCGTGAAAGTGTTGTCCAGACCCAGACTAAGACCCATTCACAATCCCCATCCCCATCCCATTCCCAATCCACCAGCTTCTGCTCGATCTTCGGCCCAGTTATTTTTTTGTCAGAAATTGAAAAATTTGTATGTTACTTATTTTATTAGCATTTAACACTCTGTCCCATTTCAGAGACCAGAGCGAAAAGCGAAAGGAGCTGGGGTCTGGACATGCAATCGCCCTGGCATGCCATCTCCAATCCCTTATCCCCAGATACATCAATGTGGGTGGCCTGGAATCCAATCCCGTACGGAATCCTTGCCTCTTGTGTGGCATTTTGGCAATTGTCAAATTGAAAATTCATTAAAGGCAAATTAAATATGCAAATGCAGCAGGCCCAAGTCGAGGAGGAAAGCGCCAGCATTGTTGGCCGCTATTTGAGTTGGCTCTGCAAATATTGACCAGCAATTGGGGAGGTGGAAAAAATGGAAAATATCATATGTACATATCCTCCTCGTCAGCGATAAAAAGTCAAGAGGAAATCAAAGCAAATACGACGGCTTCGAATGGAGGCAAACACTGGATGGGATTCAATTGGAATTGGAACTGGACATCCATGGAAGCACAGGGATCCGTTCAAAATTGTTTAAACAAATATCGCATAAATTGCACATTGTAGCCGGCAAATTGGTACGGGCATGGGTTAATTCCCATGAAAATTAAAACTAGATTATACACACGTCCACACAGAGTCCTTTGGTCCTTTGAGTCCTTGCTGCGCCCACTGTGTCATTGTTTGGGCACGCCCTCACCTCCTGTTGTGCCGGCGCTTTGTCATAGATTGCCACTGATGGTTATCATCCAGTATTCGGTTGAGGGATGTGCTCTCCTTATAGATATAGATTGCATCGGACCATGTCAGGGCAATTTTTGTCGCCGACTTTGATGCGGCAATTTGAACTCGGTTGTGTTGTTTTGCCAACATTGCTGCCGATCAATATCTGAGCTGATCTTTCGCAACTGACTGGCGCCAGAAGTGATCTTCTATCCCTTATCGAAACAAGACAAATTCGCTACACATATTTTATAATAAGATAAATTTAGGCCGATTTACCATGTCCATATAGGTGCCAAGTATGCGTACATTTGACGATTAACGTAGCTGCTCTACTTGAAGGACAATCTATTTTTCTGTTCTAAAAATTAAATTTGAGCTCAAGTTACATTTATCTCCTTTTCCAATACTTAATTCTGTAATATATTTGGTAATATTTTTTAATCGTTGTAATTGATTGCACCAAAAGTCTAATTTTGTATTGTCGATCACATAAATACATAAGTTATGCGTATATTTCCCATAAAATATAGAATAAAAAATCAAGTCACCAAACCACACATTTAAAATGTCTTTAATATTTTTAATCTCTACTGGTTGTTATAAATTTTGAAGATCCCGATTTAAGTAATGAAACATTAATAATTTGATCACTAATTCACTTTCTTAAACTAGATATACATTTAATATTTCTCTAATATTTTTAAGCCCTACTGGTTATTATAAATTTTGAAGAACCGGATTAAGGTTATAAAACAAAGACAAATTGATCACTAATTCACTTTCTTAAGCCTAGAAAAAATGACGATTTTCCGAGTAGGGAAATAAAACCCAAATCTTCGTTGGCATTAATGTGGCTATCAAACATTAATTTCATGGTGCATATTGCAGCCTCATTTGGCGGCTCTACCCTCGTTTCCGAGTCGGAAGTTGACTCATAACCGATCGACAAATTGTGATTGCTATTGTTATGAGAGAGGATCGGTTCCCAGTCCCAGTCCCACGAAACCCTATCCCAGATCAGAGCCAAGTGATCAATTCAAATTTGAAACACTGCTCGCTGGAACAAAGGAAAAAGATGAAAACTACGCAATCACTTGAGAAAAATCAAAAAGGCTCTGAAGGACCTCGGCTGCGCTCCTCTGGGCTCCTTGGCTCCCTGGTTTCTCGGGCTCTTGGCCATACTCGTAACCATAACAGGTGGCACGGAAGCCGCACAAAATAAAAATGATTAAAGCAATAAAAAAGAAACGAAAACGAAACTCACACACAAAAGACGAAGAAAAGGCCGCGCGGCAGAAATAACAACAATTTTTAATAAGATTTTCAAAAAATTTTGAAACAACATTGGCAAGACAACCTAGAAGAGATGCTATCCCCTCCTGTTGCTCAACCACTTCCGATTTTTATTTCGATCCCGATCCTTTCTTTTGGGCGTCTCCCAGCAGCGGGTCAAGTGTGAGAACATTTTGCGGAAGGAAGTGGCTAGGATAAAAAATGATTGGGAAAGCGAAGGCGAAGGGTTCCAGACGACTAGAACTAAAACACCACGTGGTCAAGATTCACTTTCGAGTGCGCGAGTGACTAACTCTCTGTGATTGCACAGAAAATTAAGCCGTGCACATTGTGAAATGGGTCTAAAACCTTTTAGTATCAGGGAGAACTAAGATAAGATACTCTAAAATATTATATCATATTTTATTAAAATTCAATTACATATCGACGATTGCAATAAACTATTATTATTACAGTAGTAATATTTTAAGTTAGCTTAATATATATTTACTTTTGGATCGCGCACTTTAAGGTCTTCCAAAAGGTTCTATAAATTGTAAGTAGTCTGATAGGGATTTTTTTTCTCCGTGTGAAAGGGCTGAAGCTCTGAATGGTTGTGATATTACCCAGGAATTCTCGAATCTCGTAGCGTAATTGAGCATCTAATTTGCGGCGGCAGGCGGTAAAGCAGC